TTCATATCTCACTACATCATTGCATGGTCACACTTCACGCTGTCCTGCTTTGCCGTCAGCTGCTGCCACGACCACGGCCACGGCCACCACTGCCGTGGGCTGCTGCCAGCAGCAAAACTAGCCAGACTCATCGCCCACTATCATGTCGATGCAACATGTCGTGTTCTGCTGCCATGGGCACACGTTATGTTTTGAATGACGAAGCTGTGTTTGGACGAACATAGCAGCAAAACCTTCCACTTGGCGTTGCGACCACTGGAGGTGATTCCCTGCGGTGACCTAGTGCTGCATATTCTCCGCACTCCGGGTCACACGCCAGGTGTCTGGGCAAGGTGAGTCAGGGGACACGTGTGGATGGAGGGCGTGTTCGCGACATGTGCCCTTTATCCATGAAGCTGCAAGGGACAAAGTTTTCCATATTCATGCGCCCAGTGTTGTGCAGTCTTAGTACGGCGCCCATGAGGTTCAATCTGCGTTTTCGCTGCGCCTCGTGGCCTGTCACCGCGGTCAACGTGCTTTGCTTGGTGACCCCGATAAGGCGTTCTATCTTAAGACGTCAGAGTTTTAAGAACCTTGCGCCGTGGTTTCACCGTTCAACACCACACGGCTTTCCATTGAGGATTGGCAGCTCCGGCTTGAAAGAAGTAAGGACAAAGGCCGAGGTCGCCTGTTGTTCACAGCTTCCCAGTCTCTTGGAGACTTTCAGAACTCGACATCCCTTGTGCTTGACAGGCGGGCCTACTGATCACGGGGTTGTATCCTCAAACTTGTTGACATTGGCCGTTGCTGTTTGCACGGCTGAAGATTGCCACACCTTCCTGAGGGACACGCTCTTTGTTGGTAGCTGCGGGCGAACCGACTTGCCAGGTCTGATTCGCGTCTTGTTCTTTTGCGCTTCAGATGCATGCTGTTATGCGTGCTCAGCAGGGTCGGATCCTCGTGAAATGATGAGCTCCTTGGCTAGGCAAGATCGCAGAGCCTCCATGCATGAGAATGACCGGTGCAGAGTACAGTGCACAGGCTGAGCACCATGGACCCCGCGGTGGTGGTCTGTCCTGGCTTCTCCCTTTGATGGCACTGGGATGACATCATGCTACGCTGATGTCGGACGGCTGCTAGGAGTCCTAAAACTAGTGGCATTTGGAGCTTCAACGGATTCCAGGTCATAACTACGCGACGGAGCCATTCACGACCATTGGTACCGAAAGGGCCAGCCTGCTCGGAGTTCCTTGTGCGAAGTCACAAAGTGACAAAGTCACATGGTGAGCATAGCCTGCATCAGAGCGCCAGGCGCAGAACGAGATGGTTAAAATGGGCTTGTCGCACTTTCCGAGTCCGCCGGCAACTTACAAAAAGCGCCCATCGATGACAATCTGGAGACTCGGCATCGCTCTCCTTATTGCGCTCCTGTCTCTCGCAGTTTCTAAGTCTCAGGCCTCCTGTCCCACCATGCGCAATGCGCCGGCCTCAAACGAGCCTCATGTCGTTGACCGAAGGGATGCGATCCCTGATAGGTGCGGCGAAGGTGGCCAGAGTTGCGGCCCCAAACAATTTCGGAAAGGCCGACGGGTGCGAATCGTGAACCTCACCACGGAAGCTGGCCAGGCCGCAGGGGTACACAGGGACCATGAAGGACCACACAGGGCCACACAGGGTGGTCATGCAGGGCTTCTTTTGCACGGTGGAAGCAGCCCTGCATGTTCGTAGGGGTGAATGTGGCTTAAAGGTTGCTCTCGAGCGAGCTGCGGGAGTCCGCCAGGGAAGAGCTGAACTGCCGTTGGACTGCCAACCCTGGGTTAACCATGGAATATTCAAGCTTTAGATGGGCGTCGGGCGTCGAGTCCAGCTCTGCATTGGTGTCCAAAAGCATGTCGATGAGCGGACAACAATACTCCACATTGCGCACGGCATCGCATTGTGCATGGCATGATGTATAAACAGAAGCAACCGACTCAGAATGCTTTGTTGCAAATAAGCTCAACTCGTGAAATGCAGTCCGGATTTGCAGATTGGGCTTCTCAGCGGTCTTGATTAGCTGGCTGCGCAAGCGGGACTTGCCCGACCACCTAGTAAGGTTGAACTGTGCTGTCGGTGTGATCCTTGCGGAGGCATTGAATGGTCGAGACTGCGTGGTTGAAAGCTATGCTCCTTGGCCGAACTTGTGCTGCACCTAGTCCTGAGTCACACATTTTATGGCTGATGTTGGCCCAATAAAGCAGTCTTTGCCTGTGGCCAGATGGATGACAAAGACCGGTACGCGGTGAGGCTTGCGTTGGGATGTCATGAGAGTACGGGTACCTTGGTGAATCAGCAGGCTGACCAAAGTTGAGGACATGGCCTTTCCACTTCTCCCGAGCTTGAACAGTCGCCAACCATTCATCAGTCCGGAGGAAGAAAGCCTTGTGGCAGAATATCGGAAGGTTCCCTGAGGACCGTGAAGGATCACAGCAAAAGCCAACTGCTTGTTGCCTCGTCCACTACCTCACGGCTTGAATACCCCAATGTGACAGATGAAGTGTGTTCTACTTTTTAGGCAATGTACATCGAACCTGCTCCAAGAATTGCACGCCACCACGCAAGCTTCAACCATGTCCAGGCTCTTTGGGCAATCTGGTGTCAAAGTGCTCAAGCCGGACCGAGTCTTGCGAGTATGTTTGTAATTGGATGTGCACATGGAAAAGGTCATGGTATTGTCCTTCGGACATTGCGTTGGAAAGCATGCAAGTAGTCTCGTGCCGGCAAAATCTGGCTCTGGCGCTTGCTGCACCTCTGACCATGAAGCCGCGGTTGCAAAGGTTGAGTTGTGGCAGCGCACTGTCGGCCCAAAACAATTCGCGAGGACAACTTGGAGAAGCCGGAACCGCCGCAAGCGCCGGAGCCGCCGCAAGCGGCGGAAGCGTCGGAAGCCTGAGAGAAACAAGCGTGCGTACTCGCCCGAGTACCTTCCCGACTGGCTGAGATGCGAGTTTGAAGTGAACTCGCAATGTGTGAATGTGGTCGTTGGAAACTCTGTGATCGTTAGATCTGTTCCGCCAGTCAGAGTTGGCGGCTCTGGTCGGAACTACTCGTCGTACTCGCAGAGCAAAAAGACAGAACAGATTATTGCGAGCGCCCACGGCAGAACAAATTGACATTGCCCCATTCGCCCCACTTGCTTTTCCGGAAGATCTACATGACGGTAGTCTCGAGTCTAGCACAATCAGCCTAATCTGCGGCAAACTTGTGCAGCCACAAGTGTGCCTCAAACTGGGCCTCTTCAAAAAAGCACTCTTACCGCCTCATTTAGGCAGACTTGTGGCTGACGTGTGACCAGGCGGTGGGGAAAGGTGGGCAAGTGAGGCAAGTGAGGCAAGAGGGGCAGTGGGGCAGTGGGCATGCGGGGCAAGTGGCAGAAATCAGAGGTGCAGAGTGGGGCGAGTGGGGCTAGTGGGGCAAGTGGGGCAAGTGGCACATATCGGTTTCCACTCCGTGCGCAAAAAAGAAACCTTGCACACCCCGCACCCATCATAAGCATGAGCCTTACTGTACGCATGCGATCGAAGCCCAACCATGGACGCAAGGAAGTAGCTCTGCATCTTCAGCTGCGTTATGCACCTCGTTCGTTCGAGTCAAGGCTTGGTGATGAGCAATGGTCAGGTCCACTGTTGTGCGCTTTGATGTCTTCCCTTGTTATCCCGTGTTCATGTTGCGCTGTGTCGCATATGGCAGGCTTAGGGTGCACAGGTGCTAACCGTACTGGGTGTCCATTCTCCACCCCCGTTGAATGTTTAGGCCCGAGGAAATGCGTCCGGGGCCCGTGTGAGTGGGGTGGAGTTCTTTTCCGCCATGTCATGTTATCTGCTGTCGAGAGGCAGGCGAGTCTTATGGGCACATAGGCAGAACTGACCCCGTGGTTGCATGCTCAAAAGGCGTCCCAGCGTGTCATCGATCATTTGTCTGAGTTAGGTCTGGGAAGTCGAGCAGACCTGGCGACGTATTATGTCTGGGCACCAGAGGATGCAGAGTTATCCCGCTTGTGGCGGCTGGCTCGCGATGAGCCGTGTCTCGATGTGGCAGCTGTCGTTGAGGTGAACCGAGCCCGTATGCCCAAAAGAACCGTTCCCCCAAGTTTCGTTCTTGCTTTTTTCGAGTTCCTTAGCTGTGGCTTATCTTGCACCTGGCACAAGTGTTGCCTCTTCCGCTTCTATTCAAGCCAATTTCAGCATTCCATGCTTGGTATCAAGCCATTTTGTTTTCAGCCTTCCAGTTCGATTTTCCTTGCCGCTCATGGCTGTGTGTTTGTTCGCTATACAGATAGTAGTAGTGTTTCTTGCCACTGCGCCCACTTCCCACAGCCTTTTTTGTAGAACTTTGAAGGCTTTTCTTAAGAGGTCAAGTTTGTACAGCAGGTCAACATCCTGTTCGTTCCTTCGCGCGAGCTCAGATTGGCCCTCCCAGCTCTCTGTGGGTAAACGGTTCAGGGCGCAACGGCTTTCGATACTCATCCAAATAGCCGATGAGGGCCGACTCGCGTTCGTGGTGGGGGCCTGGGTCTGAACACGTTTCAGCAAAGAATTGAGCTATGTATACAAAAATAATCAAAAACACATACGTATATACATACACATACATACGTGTGTGTGTGTACATGAGCACACGCGCGCGTCCTAGCGTTGGTCTAGAATCTGTGTAAAGGGCTGCGATCTCGTGCCGCTTGCTTGGAGCATCAGTCCCTGCCTACTGGACCCTGAGACGATCCAAACTTTTGCAAGAATCTGTGCTGCAAGACGGAATCTCCGCGAACGTGGGCACGCTCGGGGCCTTGCCTTGAGGCATGCTTATGCAGCTTGAAGTTTAGAGCTGCGCAATAGCATTCCTGGAATTTTTACTTGCTACGACAGATACCGCATGATACCGCCGTGTCTGCGCAAAATTCAGAGTTGAGGCACGAGCTGGCAGCACCTACCCCACCGAATTCGGTATTCAGACATTCGTCGCCTCGATGAGTCGCCTGTGCCGCAATGGGCGCTATGGCATTCCGGGTGTGTCCGCAGCGCAGCCAGGCGATTTCTCACATGAGCCGGAAGCAGCAGCTGGATGTAGATAGAAGGCGTGTGTAGATGATGTTTAAGCAGGCAAGCCGAGCTCGCGTGCGCTCGACGCCGGACGTGTCACCATCTCCCGGCGAAACCTTGGGAGAGGCCGAAGGGACAGTAACGGACAATAAGCATTTGCAAAACGATGCGAAAGGCTGCAGGCCATGTGTCTGCAAACACGCAGTGGCAGGTGCTACATCAGGAGCACCAGCAACTGCTGGAAGAGGAAAACGCCTTGGGTTTACTAGTGGTTTACTCCTGCCAGAGTTTTCAAGTCTGAAGTTTCCACCTCTGCAAGGTTCCGATCTCCGCCAAAGTTGAGGAGCCAACCTGGCCATCTGCGGAGTCGGAGGCATCCACGGAGAGGCCATGAACTTCATGAACTTCAACTAAGAGCTTCTCTCAACCGTTTTGAGGTTTGGTTTGTGAGTTGTTCAACTGGTGGGTTCTACAGGTCTGAAAGCTCAAGTGAGAGATCACGGAGGCACCGGCAACAGAAGGCAGGGCAGAGAATCACTGGCTTAGGCTTCAACTGAGCGCAAAGCTTCAACACAAGGAAAAGAGCGCCTGCAGGCGGAGCTGCTCTCACCTCCCCCCTCCGGATGCGCACCAAAGGCACGTGGTGCTGACACTGCAATGTTGCAGTATGGATGGCAGCGTATTGCGAATCGTGCCCATTAGTTCCCATTCGTCAGGGCAGGCGGGCTCGTTGTGTGGGTGTGGAGGCTCCAGAGGAGGGCGCGTTGCCAATCTTCTGCGATTTGAAATACATGGCACGCTTCGCAAGCTGCAGGACATGGATGCATGGCACCGTGCCACATCCTTCTCGGAAGCTGTGAACTGCTTGGCTGCAGAGAACGCCGACGGAGCTTCCGTGCCTTGCCTAGTCTGCCAAGTTTTCTCGTGCTCTCCTGCCCACTTGACCTTCCGCTTTCATGATTTCAAACCTTATGTGTCGGATTCGTGATTAGTACAGGAAGTTCTGGCTTTGGCTATGTGTCGGATGTTTGGTGGAGTTGCAGAGGCAGCAAAACGATTTGGCAGGTCACAAAGCTGGCCTTGGTCGGAGTCACGCTGACCGATGAGGACGTGTTTTGCATGTTTCTGCATTCACTTGCAATTGTTGCCTTCATGCCGCTGGTGAATCTACTTGTCATGGCGTGCTGACACTGTCGCACATTGTCACCATGCGAAATGGTTCATACAGCAGATATGTTCGAACTTTTTTGCACGCGACCTGCGTGCATGCGGCTGCTGAAGAAATTTTATGGCCGGCTGTTGGTTCGCTTGCAATCTGCAACTCTGCTTAATTACTCCTAGTCATGGCCATAGCCATAGCCTTGAATAGAAGCCGAAAACGCCAGATGCTTGCAACAGAGCCACGCGCGCGTCCACATTTTACGTCCACTTGGCAGAGTAGGCTCCTCCTTTCTGGTCGCACATGAACGCCACGCTCTCCAGATCCAGGCTGCGCTAGGCCAGAAGATGGTGGAAGCCAGGTCCTGGCAGATGACAATGTGGACATGCGTTCAGGTTTTGGGTTGACAGACAACGAGAGATCGGAAGGAGGGGCGTTGTTTCCCAGCTAAATGTCGATCTCCCTTTTGCCCATGTGCCGCCCCATCATCATCTCCAGGGGGCCGCAACCATACGCGGGGTGTGCAGCCAAAAGATAAGACAAGCACACCTCAACCGGGACAGGGTTGAGCAAAGAATGTCCGTGCCTGGAACCATGCTAAATGGGCACGACGTCAAGGCCGTGTGCAGCGAATGCTGATGGGCCTGAGGCTCTGCAATCAAATGCCGGTGGCTTGCATCTGCAGGTTCAGTATGTTGGAGCGCACGGCGCTTGCGCCAATTTAATGTACCTTGAGCAACAACAATCTCCTTGCGAGTTTCGCCACCAGCGCCTCCACACTGGCGTTGCTGCCACTTGCATTTCCAGCCGCTGAACTCAGTACGCTGGTGGCACTTAACGCGCACAAGCTCAGCATCACCAATGCCTTCAACACCGTGGAAAGAGGCAAGGCGATGCCATCCCTTGCCGTCTGCATCACGATTGTGCAACAGCAGAGACCATTTGCCGCCCGCTCCCGACCCCCTCCCCTTCCCCTTTCCCTCCAGAGAAGGACCGTGGCCCTGGAGGCTGAAACGTGAAGAAAAGTCACGGGGGGATGTCAGGGATGTCCATGCACTTGTTGAGTTTCTGTGACGGTGAGGATGCATTGTTTTGTCAAGCAGGCACCATCCGCACCAAGCCAAAAGCGAACGGAAACTTAGGTCGCGCGGACGTGGGTGTGGATCAGCTTGTGGCACACAAAGTTACAAGTTCTTTGGTCGTATGGAGGCTGCAGCTGGTCCTGAGAGGTGTCTTCGGAAAGCTCAAGCAAAAAACGAAATGCAAAGGAGCTTGCAAGGAGATCCAGAGGACATCCAGAGAAATGAGAAGTTCAAGAGTGGAGTTGGCCCCAGCTGGCTCAAACTGAAAAACAAGCGCACCACTCCGGCCTGAAAGTCCTCGTGCAAGGCGAATCGTGCTTCCATGTGTGCAGCGGAAGGTGTCCCTGGAGGCTTCCTGGCGCTCCTGTAGCGCCAGAGGGAGCTATCGATAAAGTTCCCATGCTTGAAAGCTTCGTAGCCCAACAAGGTACGTTTTTGCAGGTTGATGTCCACAACTAGCTAACTAGCTCAAGCTCAAGCTATGGGGCTGGATGGATACCAAGAGGCTGAAAACTATGCGGCGAAGAACAGCTTTTACACCTGAATGGACAACATTGATCCACGTTACACGGTGCTCAAGACCGGCCAGAAGAACATCTTGCTGAAGAGCAAAGACCCGTTATTATACCTCTCTGCAAATTCCCGATCAGGCTTTGCGAGTGACGTCTAGTGATGCTTCTTACCTGCTCTTTCTGAAAGACCTTGTCGGGAAAAAGTCATGTGGAATGATGCGGTATGCTTCTTCAGCGGCAGCAGCTTGCACAACAAACAACCAGACACTGCGAGGGCACTGCGAGGGCACTGCGAGGGCACTTTCGAAGCTGTCAACCCTGTCGCGCGAGGAAGTTTCCAGACTTGCCGAACATCTTCACAGCAATCCAAATGCCGCGATCCCAATCACTCATGCTTCTTGGAAGAGTACTTGTGAACATGTGCGAACTTTCCGATTTTGTTGCCCAAAGGGGCTTCTTGAATCTTGTTGTCAGTCTTTTGCAGGTGTTGCGCCTCGCCCTTGTGGAGTGCCCGGCTCTTATGTCCCAGAGATGCTTGAGTTTTCCTGCGCTGTTCAAGATTCGCATGGATCCGCCTTCAATGCTGCCAGGCAGCCTCGGTGACCAAGCTGCCGAGCACTTGGCCGAGGCAGCGGGGTATGAGGGAACTAGCGGCTGCACATAGCGACGTGTGCAGTCACCGGAGATTTCGCTTGGCTTTGCATTGCTTTTTGCGTTCTCTTCCTGGGCAGGCCTTGGCCGCCAATGACGTGCTGACATCGCTCTCTTTGGAAGGGAACCGGGCTGGCTCCCTGGAAGCTTCTCGAATCTTCTCTATCTTTCCTGAGTTTCCGCATGCGGTGTGTTGTGTGCTCGGACTTGCTCCACCATGATGTAACATTCTGGGGGGCTTCGGCGGATTGGCACAACTCTGCCTTGTTTCGGTCCTGTGCATAGCTACGAGGTGGGTGATCGCGGCGCCGCCCGGCTAGCGAATGCCTTGCAAAGGAATGAGGCACAACAGTTCTTGTTGCTTGTTGTCTTTCTCGCCACAGCTGCATACCACAAGGAGCGATGAAATTTGCGGTGCTTCAGTCTAGCTGAGTCGCACAGGCTTTGACCTCTCTTAGCCTGGGCAGGCGCGCATCATTCCTGGGTAGATTGGGTAGATCGTTCATCTGACACCGCACTTGGCTTTTCTTTGAGAATCTTTCCAGCAGTTGACAAATCCTCAGTATGTGCCACGTAGGCTACATGCGCATGACTCACAGACTCTGACTACGTGAGACAACATGAGTTGACTCCCAAGACATGTCAAATGGGCATAGATACCCGCACTATACTTGGCACAACGTGCTTGCGGGGATGCTGCCATGATCACGTTGCCGGAGCGATTGCTAGTACCACGCTGCCGCAGCAGCTGCTGCTCTGCTACTGAATGCATGACCACAAACTCCGCATACCTCTAACCGCCACTACCGCTACCACTATATGCCACTATCACCAGCCTCTACAAACGGACGACTGCAATGGCCACTTGAATCCACCATCACATCTTCATTCTGACTGACCTTTGCGGCACAGGCGTAGATACATACACAGGCACTTCAGTATTGTTTACTTGCTTTGGCTTCCTGACTTGGCCAGCAAGTGGCTTACACCTCATGACTTGCACTTCCAACTGCTTTTGGACAGTTTGATGCAGCAACGTGATCCGCGTGAGCGAGATGATCCGTTCATTCGGTGCAGGAACTGTGTGGGCAGTCAGGGTGTCAAGCTGTTGCTTGATGCCCTGGAGACCAACTACACATTGCGCATTCTGGACCTGCTGGCTTTACACACTTCCACAGCCGGGCTCAACTCTGCCTTGAGCTTGCAGGACCTTGCCAGCAATAGCGTCTTACGGCCTGGCTGGTCTGTTGCAGGCGAATTTGAATGGGACTGGGATGGCTCCCGTGGTTTGCACTTGTGTTGACAATGTTGTCATGTCACCGAGGTGATGGACGGACAGCCAATCAAAAGCGCCTCCAGGCTGCTTTCCATATCGCATCATGTTGCTGTTTTGCTTGCTATTGCTAGGTGGATCTTGATTGGGGATGAGTAGGGTTTTGCGATTTCTGCTTTGATGCTTGCTTGCTTCCTTTGGCTCCGCACGCGCAGATGCACAAGCCAACAGCAGTTGCACTTGCTCCCATGGTGATGAAACCCCGCTTAGAACGAGCGCATCGCTGTAGCATTGTATCATTATTTGCAAGAGCCTGAAGCCTTGAAGATACATGTCTCCAACACCCTGGCAGCTGGCGCGCCCTGACGCCAGAGCTTCATTTGGGCCAATGTGGGAATGGAGCTGTCATGCGACAGAGAGCCACCGACATGGGGCGAGCAGGAGCTTCCGAAGCCAGGAATGGGCAACATTGGGCAACCGTCGTTTCATGACATTTTGAGATGCGCTGGCACACATCAATGCGCTGCAGGAGGTCCTCGCCTCCTCCTTCATGCGCAGAGCTCGGAGCTAATCACGTCATGTTGGATCGCCGGAGGTCAAAGGAACGATTCAGCTGGAGTTGGCCAGCGATTTGATGGATCCGTTTAAAGGGAGGATCGCCTTGAAGACACATAAAAATCTGAGTCCATATACTGGGAAGCAACTCAGGTGCTGGCAGCAGCAGTTTGCACGGATGCGCTTGGAGGCACCAAGGCTCGGTGCTCCGAGAACGAGAGAACGATCCCCTCCCAAAGCGCTACTAAACCGTAGGAGTTCTAGGAGTTCTAGCTTTAGAGCAAGTTTGACAAAAAACCACGCGAGACCCGCTCAAAGCCTGCCTCCATTTCCAACAAATCTTCTTTGGACGTGCTGGGCAGCCCCCCGCTCTTTGCTCACTGGCCTCCAGGTTCAAAACATGCCGTGAAAAAGCCTCCCTTGTCGCAAGATACGGTGTCTTGCGTGAAGAACCTAGAACGCTTTCGCTACCAGGCTTCTGTTCTCCATGGCTTGCTGGGACGTAGGTTGGGAGGCACTTGTCCGGATCTTCAGGTTCTTCTTTGGAGGAGGCCACAGGGTGGGAGAGCCCTTGGCCAGACTCTCCAGAGCAACTTCGGATCCAGCTCTGGTGGGCTTTCGTCATTCGTCCACTCGCCGTTCCGGGCCAACCGTTGTGTTTTTCTCGCTGGCCTGGCTCAGAAAGTCCGAGAGTTCAGGGTGGAGTTCATGGTGGCTGCATGAAGGGCAGCGCAACAAGGGGTGGCGATGACCCTCATCGCTACCGTAGAGCCTGAGACTTTGGGAGGCGTCCACGCACCGGCTGCAGGAGCCTCGGGATCCTAGGATCCCTGCAGAGTTCAAAGACCCTTTTTTTGGCAGACACGCTGCGCCGCATAGACGCTACATCGTCCTTCGCAGATCTCCGGCGCCAAATTTCTGAAGTCTACACAAGTTCTGCCCAAATTCTATTCTGCTCCAGGCCTCCCTGCCTGGATTCAGTCCTAAAGCAACCCCAAAACAGCTGTCGAGACCTCGACCTTCCAAATTCAAAGAAGAAAAGCCATCAAGAGCTCAGAAGAATGTTTTTCAGGAGCTGGACTTTTCTTCCATCACTTTCCGCACTGTCCTACCAATTCCTGCTCCAATTTGCCTGGATGGTCTGTGCAAAGACCGCGCCCCGGGCGTCAATGGGCCAAGAAAGCCGTCTTGTGCGAGGCCCCCGGAAAGGCCAAAAGAGCATGAAGAGCCGCCTCAGCTTTTGCCTAACGACGGGTTTTTCTTCTCAACGTTTCTCAGAGAAGGCATTTGGAACCACGCCAGCAGGCAGCTTTGTGGCCGCGTGTAACGAGTCCACGAAGAGTCCCATGAGAGTCCCACGAGGGCGCGAAGACATAAAAAGACTCCGTCTCTTCCTCTCTCAGAGACTCGAAGCAAGTGCGGCTTTAAGTCCGTTCGATTCGCAGCGGAGACTAGTTACTGTTGCTCTTGAGTGCTCCTCCAAGCAAAGAGAGGCGAGGAACGTGGGTTCCTTTTGTCGATGGACGTTCTGCGAGGAAAGATGAGGAAGGGTCAGGCATCACAGCATCACATCCAACCCCCCCCCCCCACATTTCTTCGAGCACAGGATGAAAGGATCACACTCCTATCCCTACACGACCCCGCCATCAGCAAGGGAGGGACAAAGCAGAGGTCGCCAAGCGTATTTCCAAGATGCCAAGAGGTAAAGAGTGTCAAGGGCCGCCATGCTGTCGTGTTGTCGTTCAGGGTAGCCTTTCCAGCTACGTTTGCAGATCGCGATTGTAGCCAGCGATGCCTGCGATTGATTGCGAGTTGGGCTTTGGAGGATTCTACCAGGATGCGAGACCTTCTACAACTTTGGGAGCAGGACCTCGTCCAGGGCAATCGCAGTTGACTGAGACTGCTACTATATGAAGTGTTCTCGCAAGGCGCTTGGTGTAGTTGAGCAACCCTTGGCCAGCGCCACAGGAAGCGCGGGCGCATGTGGACGACGTTGTGGTGCCAGATTTCTTGAGCTGTAGCTTTGACACGGAGTGGGAGGCCTGACGCTCCCAACAATTTTCACTTTGTAAGAATGATGCAAATGGATAGGGTGACAGTGGCACATACTGCACCGGTTCATTTGCCAGGAAGCACGTCTTGAGATGATAGCTTCTTTGCAGCACGTGTCGCAAGCTCAGCAGGCCAGCGCAGCTGTTGCGATGCTGCATGTCAGAATCTCCAGCTCAGGCCGCAGGATCTTCCGAGATTCCCTGAAACGCTGGCAGAGCTTCCGCAGTACCCATGGCTGGAGAAACTCTTCTCCATGGCAAAGATTGTCCAGGAGGATCGGGTCTGGGAAATCTACCTGTAGACAGACCAGGGCAATCCAACATCGTTGCTACAGAAAGACCTGCTGCTTGCAGATTCTACAACACAACATCAACATATACCAGGACCACCTGCACGAACAAATGAACAAAATGCAATGCTCCATGCAAAGCTGCGGAGAGAGAAGCTCCAAACAAACCTGCAGCAAGGACCAAGATGCTAGCTGCTAGCTGCTGGAAAGTCTGTAGGAAGCAAGCTCAAAGTAACCTCGCATGGGCAGTTTGCCTTTCGCATGCGTGGCAGGGCCCAGCTCCCGTACACATTCTGCACACGAAACAGCGTGCCCACGCCAAGGTCTTGTGCACTTGTTGAGGCTTACGCCTGGGTGCCAAGGGTTCAGAGAGAGCTTCGCTCTTGAAGCGTGAAGCTCCGAAGCGGCTCTTGTCAGAGCTTGAGGCAGAGGCACTGTTTCCAGGCCTTCGGGCGAAAGCAATCGTCGTGAAGGCTTCAGGCAAAGACATTGCCGAACAAGCTCCAGATGCAAGCTTCAGAAATTAGCGGGGCCGGCTATCCTTCTTTGTTTTTTTTGTTGCTGTGCTGTTGTGGTCTTGAACCTACCCTTGAATTTATGTTTGTCTTTTGGCCTGTGGAGACGGCTTCGTCTCTTCATCGGGCCTTTCAGCCCCTGCAAGGACACTGTGGTGAACAGGCAGGAGGACAGACCGTTGATCGCTGTCAAAGCAGAGTCAAGTTTCACTGTGACGCCCTTTTCAGGGTCAGTGGTATCTGGCCGGGGACTTTCACGGAATCCCTGCCTTAGCTCTGCAACCTAAACATCTGCAGCAACTCAGCTAAGGTGGTCAGATGTGATCAGGTTTAGGTTTGTTTCCCCCTTTCAGAATGATTCGTTCTATTCAGCTGCATTCTCTAGGTATGGTAGTGTCTTCATTATTGATGAGTAGCGGTTTAGTTCTGAAATTGAAGATTTGGTTGCGGATTCCAAATTTACATGTAAGCCGGCGCTGTGACAGTGGATGCAATTCCTCATCTAAGGCCAGAGACAAAGTCATGCTTCTTTGGCTACATAAACATGTTCTATGTCGTCGCATGGTGGTATGCCTTGGACCAGGATGTTAATGAGGCCTGAGGAACTCTTGACTTCACATGGTTTGAGGGTGACGGAAAAGGGTTGGACATATTTGCTGGACAAGATGTTCTACATGAGGCCTGGCTAGTCATCGGCCAATTGAGAACCCTCGAAGTGACATGAGGCGATCCTGTACCTACAATTGATTTCGCAGCTGCTCAAGAAGGGACAGCTGGACTGGACTGAGCATTCTGGTTGGCCGATCACGTCATGGAGTGTCTATGTGACTCTTGTTGGCACCAGGCAGTGTGTCTGATGAGGCTGTCGGAACTGAGAGATGCACCCAGGAATATTCATCGCTTGCTTTCGGGCATGCCATTCACGCCTCTTCCTGCAGATCCGTGCTGGCCTCGGCAGCGGAGAGTCAGCTCATCCCCCCAAATGCACAGACATGGCATAGCTGCAATGTGTGGGTTAAAAGTGCTGCCGAGGATGCCAGTGAATCCGATGTCGCACCTGGTTCCGGCCGTTTGGCCGATGCCAGGCTCCCGACACTACACAGCCAAGCAGACAAAACAGAGCCCCCTTGCCTGTTTCAGCCATGGAGCATCCTCCATTGACATTTGTCACCTATGCCTTTGACGTGCCTTTGGGCCTGATCAGGTATCAGCGTTTTTTATATTGCAATGCATGCTGCCTGCCTGCACAGCAACTCCACATGCCAGCAGCTGCTAGCAGACTCTTGCAAGGTAATTCCTTTCAATGACTTCTTGACATTCCTAGATGAGTGGTGGCAGCCGGCTGGCGGGCCGGACGCAACTCCGGTGAAGATCTACTCGCACTTTGCTCGCACTTTGCCGCGTTGCAGGTGTGATTGCTCTGAGCTTTGCAAGCTTGATGTTTTTGGATGCTGCGAGCACTGCGTTTAAGATTGTTGAAGATGCGTGAGTTCAGGAACTACATGGGCTTTGTTCGGTGTTGTCCTGGCGTCGGTCAGGCATGCTCCAGCAAGGCGCATGCGTGCCAGTAGGCAGAGAGTGAGCGCTCCTTTCAAGTCTCTGGATTCTCTGGCATCTCTGGCAGGACGTAGAAGCCGCGATGCCAATGCAGACAGATTGGAGGATACCATACTGCTGTCGAGATGAGAAACTATATGACTTGATAGGCCAGTTAGTGGCTTTGCAAGTCTTGGTGATTTCTTTCTGTTCTCACTGGTGAAGAGCGAGATGCACTGTGTACGACCTGAGAATGTCTTGAGAAGCAGATGGCCTCCAACTTTACAGCCTGCTCAAGACCCTCAATCCATGTGAATCCACATGAATCTGGAAGGCGTGCCGCGACTTCACGACCACAGTCTGGGTCAATGGGAAGGTGCGTACAGCAATCATCGTACCGAGCACTGGCATCTTGTCTCTCAATCCCTTCATGCTTGTAGTAGCCGTTCCTTTAGCGTTCACGTAGAAACCCGAGGTTCGCATGCAGTTTCGGCGGAGGCCTTGAGCAGTATCCTGTTGTTTCCGCTGCGGTGCTCAGGTCCGAAGTGAAGGCGAAGTTTGCGGCCGAGTACTATGACTGGTTAGACTCCCACGTGGATCTCTTCCTTTGTGGTCACCCGCTGTTTTGGTGCACGCTCTTTGAGGATGTGCGTTGCTGTGCTTTGCTGTGGAGCCTTTCATGGATGCACTTTAAATAATGGCCCAGTAGTAGATGGATAGGTGAAGCCTCCTCACAAAGGGTCTTGACCTTACAAAGATGACAGAGTCACAGATCAACGAGTGCCAACCATAGGACTTGCTGCGCGCCAATCAGAAGAAATCCATGATCGCTGCACCTCTGCGAGAACATGCTCGGATGGATTTGTTCATTTTTCAATCAGCTATCTGCCATAGGGTCATAGACGGCAGAAGGGCAGAAGCGACCACACCACGTGTGATTTGTTCAGATTTTGATTCAGGTTTATGACCAGCCGCCTTTTTTTCTGGTGCCAGAAGACGGCGAAGATGATTTCGCAGACCGCTTGAAAGCCTTTGCGGACCCGGAGTTTCGAAATGCTGCTGTTGTAGGCCGACAATGTCGTGTGGGCTGGATGATTTGAAGCAAGTATGGCGGGCTGTCGCTGCGGTTGTAGGCCGACAGCTGCACCTGATGCCATGCCGTGTGCGCTGGATGATTTAAAAAAAGTAGGGGGTGTCAGAGGGACCAAAAGGGGCAGGCATGCTTGGTCCATGTGCGCGAAGAGTGTGCCTTTTTGCCCTTCTGAGAGGCTTTGCTCCTTTCTTCAGCCGCCAATTTGAATGGTTGCTGGGTCGTGCCTCGCCTTGACGGTGAGGTTTCCTCAGAAAATGGCAGCATCTTTCCGGTGCTTGCCAATACACGACCAACCCTTCAACCGCATCGCCACCAGTGGCTCATCATGAATCCGACCAGTGCAAAGTAGAATCGCAAGCTTAACCGAGAAGCAGACCAACTTGGGCATCTTCATTTTGCTAGATGCTTGCTTGGCTGTCCAGCCTGCGAGTCCTCCGCCAAGTCATCTGCACTGTTAAGGTCCTCTTTTCAAGGTAAGGCCTAGGTTAGCAATGTGGAATGTTAGGGGTTAAAAGTATGCTTCTGGCCAAGGAAAAATCCCCCACAGTCGCCCAATTGCGCTGGTGGTGAAGGAGGTTTGGCAGCCGCTTCGACCAGACTCTGTGCTATTCTCTACATCCATTGATGGAGAAGCAACAGGCCTCGATCTCTTTTTTGCAACATTGCGCGCAAGCTGTTCGACCAGCTTCTGTGGCACATGATGCTATGATTTTTGTGATCTCTCTGCTTCGAAAGAGCTGTGCAATGTGCAGGGATATTCTTTCGCTATGCGGATGAGAATGTCATCACGGTTTGGGTCTCAGGGCGGGTGAGAGAGCGAGATGCATCACATGCAAGCTAGTTTCGCACCGACTGGATCATGCTCGGGGCGACCCCTTCGAAGGTTAGGTGTGCCGGAACGAAGGAAGGAAGAAAGAAAGAAGGCTTCCGTCCCCCTGCCCTCGGACCATGCCCAGAAACACACTGATATCTATGCCGTTTTTCCACTTCGTACAACATGCTCCAGAAGGATGCTTGACGTTTGTGGAACAAGACGCGCTCTCACAAGCGTTCATGCCACTCCCGAAACACATTAATTTCAAACCTTTGGCACCATCATGTACAGCGACGTACACTTCAACCTCGGTGACAAGAAACATCGACCAGCTGAGGAAGATCTTCCTACATGGGGCCCGAAGGATGCACCGGCTGTTGCGATACGCTTCGCAGGAGACGACGACTGTCGTACCCAGTCTACTGCTTCGGCACAATACTGGCAAGGACGGCAAGGATCCTACGACAATTCAGTAGAAACCAGTTCATTACGAACTGAAAGCATGGGCGGCGTTCATGGCAGCCCTGGTCTTTTCGCCTGCTCATCCAGGACGTGTACATACACTGTTGCGACGACGAGGCGGCCAGACTCTCCTTGATCGAGAGCACAGACACATGCCAACCCTTCAATGTGATGATCCGAGCTCACTGGACATGGCACAACCGCCCTATTATACGACGACGTAGCCGACCTTCTTGGGGAGGCCTCAGTACCGCTGAAAAAGGGCAGCCGCGTACCGGACCCCGGTCGTCAAGGCAAGCAGCCAACTTGACCACATCCTGATTCCCGAGCAGGCATCACAAGGGGTAGCTGCGAAGCTTCGCGCCATTCCGGGTGGCCGCAGGCTACAAATAGCCAAGCACCCAGCAGACACCCGCCTCCTTGGAGTGCGTGGCCGTCAGAGTGAGCGAACGCTGCTGAGAATGATTTCGTGGTACTAAGCTTGGTTTGTACGAAGCGACGGCCGGGAGAAACCCGACCTCGAGTCCACACGAGCTGCCATTCTTGCACTGATTCTTCGCCCGTCTGCCGCTTCCCTTGTTTTCACCTCTGCCTGCACTCCGACAGAGCGGCGACCGCTACCTATGACATGGTGTTTGTACGTTGAGGGCTGCAACACGCGCAAGCATCGACAAGGCTTTCAGCTGCTTTCGTGCTTTCGCAAGGGGGTCCTCCTCCCTGACACGCCCGACGTGTAGATGTTTTGACTCCAAGTCGGACCCCGCCTTTCGGGGGTGCTGGGGAAGGAGCGGTGAAGGAGGTTGTGCTAGTACTCGAGGTGCACAGGCTGTCCCACGTCTGTTTTTGACTTCCAGGTTGTGAAGCCTAGCATGTGCATTGCAAGTTGGGGGTCTTGGGGGTGTTTAAAGGGCTCGCCACATGCACGCAACGATGCGCCCGATGGACACTGAAATGGAGGAAGGGGTTACAAACGGAATGAAACGTGTACACGAGAGCTGTGGGGAAAGGAGAAGAAGGAACGAAAGCCACCATTAAGGCCAATAAGGGCTTGCAGAGCAAAAGGGAAGTTCAGCACAGCCGGAATTCTGGCAGCAGCCGCCGGGCAAAGCTCATCAAATGCTGACAGCAAGAAATGGCCCGGCAGGATTGCACATTTGCACGGGTATTTTGGGTGGCAACTCGCCGCACCAAAAGCCAACAAAAACCCTGGGCTGCATGTTTTTCCTTAGACCACTTACGCCGAGGAAGTTCCTGTTTGCATGCTTCTAGCATTCCGCAAAACGATTCGAACCGCAGGGTGCGTGCGTGCGGCGAAGAGACGAAGAGAGCTTGATCGAAGGAATGAGGCCGATAGAATGACTAGAAAGACACGGAGAGAGACAGAGAGAAGGAGACGTGGGCAGAAGAAGAAGTAGGAGACACGGAGAGTGACCCGGCTGCTTGCGAGATGCTTGAGGATCCCAGTGGCTTGCAGCTGAAGTTTTTGGAATGGGGCTTGGGCGCCACCTGTCTTTATACAGTTGCGCAGCCGCCGAGCTAGTTACTACATCTATAGTTTGCTGAGCCGGGTCTACAAGGTACAAGCGGAGGCTTGATGAATTGGTGAGAATTGGTTTTTGAGTTTTCTGAGAGGCGCAGACCAAGAACGTCGAACACCGCAGAGGCCTGACCTACGAAACTCCGAAGTCGGAGCTGGCACAGCTCCGATGTGCCTTGGAGACACGAGAACAGGCAACCGGCACGTTTGGCCAGAAGAGCGCGCAGGTCTCCGGATATGGTCTTGCTTTGAGCCTTGAGTGATCTGGTGCCAGCCATCAAGCTGAGGTGTCGTGGTTACACCCTATGATTTCGCACACTTCAAGCTGCCAGAGTTCAAAGCCATGGGGATGCCGCGACTTTAGCCTCACAACAGCTCACAACTCTTCCGAAATTTCCTCTTCAACCGAGCATGTTGTAGTGAGTGAACTGCAACTGAGGCCTGTTTTCATGCATTCGCAGCTGTGGAAATGGACCACCCGATGGTCACAGCTGATTGCACGCCCAGCGGGTCACAACGCCTCCCTCTTTGCAGCCAATCGCTGGCAGCCTCCCCAAGTGTGTTACACGCAGCTGCAGAAGCAGGACCTGCAATCGCACACGGCGTCACAATTGTCCACTTGGCCTGATTGGAGGAAGATCTGCCGATGCCAACACTCCCAGAATCATTCTACCGAGATCCATGGGGTTCTCTTTCCGATCAAAGCCTGTGCCGTGACCTCAGAAAAGCTACCATCGACTCTCGTTGTTATATTGAGCTACAGCTGCCTGCTTCTGAGCTTAGCCACCCAGGTGCCAATGCCTTGTCCAAGTGGGATGACCACCAAGGTTTGTGGGGTTCGTGTGGTGCGTTGCACGCGGCATGCTGCGCATGATCCCAGACAGGACCCTTTGGGCGCTCTCCGTTCCAGTTGTTCACCATAGACCGGCGGGACTTGCAGCCTTTGGACGGCACACTTTTCTGGTCTCAGTGGAGCGAGATGTCCCTGCTGCCGTACACCATCTACTTTGAGCCTCAGCAAGACTTGTGCTACGTTGTCGATCATTGTCGAATTTCCGAAGTCAGCGTGGCCCGGGCAATTCCCACAGTCCCCGAGCTCCAGGTGGTTGAAACATGTAACTTTCAATTTTGACATGTGCTTGTTCCCCACCCTCGGTGTGAGGTTGTTAGTTTTTAAAATCAACTCTTCTCCTCGCCCCGTCTACTCCTCGTCCAACCCCCAGGGTGCCCAACCCCAGAGTGTCCCTGGACGCAGAGCATCCCTGGAGTGCCCAACCTCAGAGTGTCCCTGGAGTGCCTGGAGTGCCTAGCCCCAAAGTGTCCCTGGAGTGCCCAACCCCAGAGTGTCCCTGGAGTGCCCAACCCTAAACCTACAGTATCCCTGGAGCGCCCAACTCTGCAGTGTTTCTGGAGTGCCCAAAGAGTGTCCCTGGAGTGCCCAACCCTAGAGTATCTCTACCCAGAAGTAAAATATCTTTCTGTGTCGAGAGCGTGTGCTGAGGCACGTAATGCAGTGCGCAGCATGTCATGGTGTACGTTCACAAGATCAGGACTCGGCGGCGCACTTGATCGCGCTACTGCGGAAGCTGCCTCTCCAGGAATCGAGTTCAAGTTCACTGCTCACCTTAGCATAGCAAGGGCACGCAGGGCGCGAAGGGCATGTAGGGTATGTAGGGCATGTAGGGGTCAAGCGTGATTGCTGTGCCGCTACAAGGCGCTTATGGATGTTTCTCGAGCACAGCGGCACTGGCACCGTCAAGAGTCCTATCAGGCATTCGAACCACCACAATCTGCACATCCAGCTTCATGGGCCTTTGTTCGCTGTCTGTTGACCTGCTTCGCAGCTCTGTGCCAGGTCATCGAGTTTTGGCGTGGCCTGACTGCCGCCCTCATCGCCGGTGATGCTGCAAGCTTTAAAGAATAATGTTGCACCTGCTTTGGTGTGCCCCCTTTCCCCCCCCCCCCCGCCCGAACAGCCGAAGCTGGTTCTGGCTCTCTTTACACGGTCCATGGGGCTTATATGATTTTAAAGGGGAGGAGTTGAGATGAGTTTAAAAGGGACAGCGAGGCCTGGCAATCCAATTTAAAGGGGCGCCACACGAGTTATTTTTACCACACGCGGACGGTTTGACTTAATTGCGGATCCCACCACACCCCCAAACAGTCCGGGTGTCCTGCATAGCACAGCTGACTATAGAGGGGCCCCTATTATTAAGCTCGGACCAGCAATGGCAGATGTAAAATCAGCATGGTGCGCAGTTCTATGCACAGCTTTGTTTGCTGGAGTGGATTGCAACGGCATTCGAACTTTGGCATGCACATCTGTTAGCGCTGGCCTGGCTCAATCCTGATCATCGAGCAGTGAAGTGCCAATGTGTTAATGAGTTGCTGAACTGTGTGCATTGTGCAACTTTCCATGACCCCGGTAAGCTTGAAAGACACATAGTTTGAAGAATTGTCATCTCGAGCAGCATGACGTGGGAAACCCAAGCTGAACCAGCGGCTGGGGCAGACCCTTGGGATAAAAATGACCCCTGGCAGAAGGACTCCCAACCAGCGCTGCAGGATGCTGCTTGGTCTGCGACCGACGGAAATGGTTACCAGTCTGGCCAGACGTGGGACTACAGCAGCAAAGGCCAAGGCGAAGAACAAGGTGACTCTTGGGGGGGCAACGGTGGCTGGTGGGAGGATGCTCAAGGAGGCGGAGGAGGAGCAGGAGATGGAGCAGCAGCCAACGACGATGGGCAGAATGGATGGGGCAACTGGAACAAGTCGAAGTCTGCAGATGCATGGGCATCCAACTCGTGGCAGACAAACCAGCAGCCAGCCGAGACCGCGGAAGATATGAACAAGCGTCGGCACGAAACCTACCGGCGAGAATACTATGATTGTCAGCAATGGTACAAGGAGCAGGGTATCACCCCAGATACCCACAACTCAAAATGCAAATTCTCAGACGAGTCAGGCCTCAGGGGAGAGGACTTCGGGTTGTACAACTCAGTCGAAGTCAAGGTCACTGGAGATGGGGCGGAAAGTCTGCCGAAGCATCTTGACACGTTTGAGGACTTGTTTGCCAGGTTTGACAACATCCCCAAGCAACTGGAGGAAAACCTGAAGTTGCTGAAGTTCGAGTTCCCCACTCCAGTGCAGAAATTTGCTGTGATTGCTGGCCTGGCCGGACGGGATGTCATGTGCTGTGCTCAGACAGGAAGCGGTAAGACAGCAGCATATCTCATCCCGATGCTTGCGAGCATGATGAAGAATCACAGAGCCACAGGCGCACTGAAAGAGCCCTTTGAGGGTCCGTGCGAGCCAGACACACTCATTTTAGCTCCAACGCGAGAGCTGGCTCTTCAAATCTACGATGATGCGCTTCGATTCTGTTATGGCACCGAGTATCGCGTCATTCGCGTCTATGGGCAGGAGAAGCGAGAGAACCAAATTCGTGATTTCTGCAAGGGTGCCGATATTTGTGTGGCCACTCCTGGCCGCTTCGCAGACTTTGTGGAGGCAGAGATCATCAGTGTGAAGAAGACCTACTGCCTGGTGCTGGATGAGGCTGACCGCATGATGGACCTGGGCTTTGAAGAAACCATCCGTGAGCTCGTGGAAAAGCGTGGGATGCCAACCAACACAGAGCGTCAGACGATGATGTTCTCCGCCACATTCCCAGCGGTAATCCAACAAACAGCTGAGAACTACCTGCACAATCACCTGTTTGTGAGGGTGGGGAGGCTCGGCAGCCCTGCCGCAACTGTCACACAGGTGCTGTACAAGGTGGACAAAAAAGAGAAGCTCGACAAGCTGGTAGAGGTCATTGACAGCTGGATGCGGAACTCTCGGGAAACAGGCCAAGAGCGAATGCTGGTCTTCACAAACAGCAAGAACCAGACCAAAGCCCTGGATGAGTACCTCTGGGACAAGGAAGTTGCCAAGACCGGTGCTCTGCATGGCGACCTCGACCAGCCGAAGCGAGAATCGAATCTCGAACTGTTCCGTGAGGGCAAGATCCAGGTGATGCTGGCGACGGACGTGGCAGCCAGAGGACTCGACATCAGCAAAGTGTCCCATGTGGTGAACTATGATCTGCCGAAGGAGCCACCTATCTACGTACATCGAATTGGCCGTACCGGCCGCATTGGCCACCGTGGCACAGCTCTCAGCTTCGTTACCATGGAAGAGGGTTGGTGGATGGATAATGAGGAGATGCTGCGGGAGTTGCCCACATTCATGGAGGGGGCGCCGAACACCGTAGTGCCAGACTGGCTGCTGGAGAAGTGCCAAACGCTTACGGCGGGAGAATGGGCCTCGAAAGAAGAAGACACGAAGGATGCCCGAGAAGCCTGGTCGAAGCCGCGGCCCTAGCGCAGAGTGTGTGAGATTCAATGACATTTAGGTTCATGATGTTCATGTTTTCCACAGGTTAATTTCGCGCTGCTGAGCCATCGTATTGAACAACCCAGGTGGCAGCCTCCTACAGATGCTGGTGATGGGAATCAGACCAGCCAAGAGGCTTGGAAGGACGATGTCTGGGATCAGAACGGCACCGACCAGAGTGGTCATCAGGCAAATGAAGGTGGACATGGTGGACAGGATGCTCAATATGGCGAGTCGTGGGCCCAGCAGGATGCCCAGAACGGCGAGTCGTGGGGCCAGCAGGATGCTCAGACAGGCGAGTCGTGGGGCCAGCAAGATGCCCAGAACGCCGAGTCGTGGGGCCCGTACATGTAGGACAACGCAGGCTGCTTCTGCAGGTTTTGTACAGAAATCTAGTCCCGGTAGCTTATAGGAATAATCAGGCACATGCTTTAAGCTGACTGCCTCTGCGGATTTGAAACGCAATGCCTCCATGCTCAGCTGACCAAGTTGAGAAGTGTGCACAAAAGCTTAGGAGTCCACGTTTTCTGTGCATTTGGACTTCAAATCAACGGTGATCAGGCCTTGCTGCAGCGGAACCGGGCGCCAAGGAAGGCCTCGCTCAATGCGGGTCTTGCTAGTTTCCAGTGCGACATGAAGGCATGAAGCAACGGGCCAGGTCGTCACCTTGCGTGCTGAGCTCCAGAGCCCACCAAGCTCGGAGCGTCAGGCTTGGAATATTCGGCAATATTGAAGGGCTTGGTGTGGAGAGATCCCGGTGATCCTGGTGATCGGTCATGCCATGTGCCGGCTTCGGACAGGTTGGCCCACGGCCGACAAAAAGGTTCAGCCGACGCTCCGGAGTTGGCGTTTGGCTGTCTCTTGCGGCCTGACAGGACAGACGAGAGACCTCCGGCCATGCTAGCAGCAACAGCATCACCACAGATGCTGCGCATCTCGTGCACTGGCATGGCGCACTCCTCAGCACAACAAGAGCTACAATTAGTCAGATCGGATGGTGCCCCAAGCATGCCCAATTCAGTCCTGTGCAGGCTGGCACGGTCCTAACGGAGCTGGAGCTTGATGCTTCCAAGGGTCTACGCGAGCTGCGCGAGGCGGGGTGAAGGGCTCAGCGCAGCAAGAAAGGCTTCCCAGCAAGACGCTCACATCTTGGCATGGATGCAACTTTCTTGGTCAAAGCAATTCTGCGTTCATCCCAGCACACAAACAATGCATACCTGCAACGCATACCGACACATCGGCTTCCCCGCAAAGAAATAGGAAGAAATGTATTTTTAACGCTACGCGACTGGCCTCGGCCGGGGTCTGCGCAGCCGCATGTGAAGACCAAGCTCACCGATTCCTCATCGTCATTGTTGAGCCGATGTGCTGCTCAATGCCAGGGTCGTGGGCCTTGCTGTGTGGGTTGGGGGGGGGGGGGGGGGGGGGGGGGGTGGGGTCAGCTTCCTCGCACCAGGGGGGGGGGGGGGTACCCTTTCCAGGAAAAAAAGGTGGCAAGGCGTGTTGGGGAGGGGATTAGAGGTGGGGTACCTGCTCCCTAGACACACCTAGACACGTGTGGGGGTAACATCTGGAGCTCCGCAGCAAATAGCATTCTGTTAGACAACAATGCCAGACCGGGGGGGACGGGGCGGCTCGAAAAAGAGATGGGCGTAGGTAGTCTGAGTTTACTGCATAGGCAGAGATGAATTTAGCCACCAGTCTTGCACAAGCCACGTTTGTCACGAAGTGATGCTGTTTCCTCAGACACACCACTGAGCTGTTCGTCTGAACGTCGCAGCTCACTGTCACCCTGTGCATTCTGCGGCTCAGCATCTAACTCGGGGTGTCCTGGTCAGGAGCTGGCCGGAAGGCTGGCAGGGCAGCAGCTGGCCATGATCTTTGTGCACAGACTCTCCGCAGAGTGTCTTTACTACGAGTGCAGACTCATGAAGAGTCTTCTGGACCGCATGGCGTGCCATGTGGTCGAGGGAAGCATATCCCGAGTCATGCAATCTCCTGCAGGCTTGGTCTCCCCAAGCCAAGAGCTTAAGCAACAAAAGCTAGAAAAGCTACAGTGTCGACAATGGCAACACGTGACTCGCGCCAGAGAGGGGTTTTTGTGAGCCTTCGCATTGCAGACCTTCGAGGCCCCAGCTTGCACTGCTCTTGCCCGACGGACGCTTGCTCAAGGCCGAGTGTCCTTATATGCGATGATACGTGATGATGATGTACAAGCGAGTTGTGGAACTGTCTTCTAATTGACTTTGGGGGCGCTTCCCTGCGGGAGGCACGAGACCATCGCTCTTTGATGGATGTTTTCACCTCCCTGGATCTGCGGAGTACGGGCCCCAAGAAGCCCAGAATCAGCGTTGGCATCGTTTAGGTCCTTCATTTGCCTCCCAGGTGATGCCGAAGATCCTTCTGTTGATAGTTAGGCTCCTTGAGGGCAGGGCCACAGCAGCCAGTGCTTCAGGAAACTGCAGCTTCAATAAGTTAAGTTATGTTCTTGTTGACGTTTCTTGATGTTTGTTGAGTCTTCTGAAGCCCGGGACTCAGAAGCTTGTAGTCCACTTTAGTCCACTTTAATCCACTTGCTAGCGGGAGCACACAGCTAGCACGAACTCTTGTGCATAGCTCCTGACGATCCACCACTCCTCCGCAAAGCGGGCTTCCTTTCAGCTTTCAGCTTTTGCCGTTTGTGCCGCTGCACAGCTGACAGTGGAACTTCGCGTGCTGATGTTTCTGCCGCTGTCTTTGGTTCAAGCCTTTTTCGTCGTGGCTGCGTCGACCCCCAAAATCTTTTGAAGAGGCTTGGTAGCGAATGTCGCGTCAAGATCCTTTTGCCTTTGGCACCGCTCGCGAGGTGCTTTGTGATGTCGCTCAATGCCCCGCTATTGGGGACCGAAAGGGCAAAGTTGAGTGAGACGGAAGTAGCAGAGTAGACGGAGGCAGGAGCTTTGAGCAGCGAACCTAAGGAGGCCCAAACCCTGTACACCATGCCAGCTGGAGGGGTAGAATCAGGGTTCACTTGGGGCAAAGCAAGACCTGCTCCTGTCGTCGGCCTCATTCGTTACAGGCCTCTCTTCTTCCCCACCTCATGTATCCAACTCCACTGCCGAGATGTGCCACTAAATAAAAATGCCAAGATGCAGCCAGGGGCTGTTTGAACAGCTTTTGCAAGAGCAGCGTGAAAGATTCCTGAGCCAGGACGATCGAGGAAGCTCCCACAACTGGCCCCGCCGAGGTTGGTAGGGGCGGATAGTGGGGAGGTTCGGACATCCATGACACGTGCGATGTCAGGATGACGTGATTCAACATTGGGCCGGGAAACTGGAGGTGTCTCGCCATGCTTGATTTCTTGACAGTCCCACTGAGCGTTCACGGATAGAACAAAGTTTAGAAGTACCTTCAGGGCTGCACGCCCATTCTTCAGCAGCTCCCCACTGATCAACTTGGACCTTCCGAGCAACACCGCGAGGCTCGATTCTTTCGAGTTTTGATCGTTTCGGATTGAGGAAGGAATGACATGGAATGACGGTGCATCACCATCGCGCAACATGCCATGAAACTCTTTGCTCGAGGCGGCGACTGTATCGCTCACATCTTCCATGAAAGGCCAGAGTTCCGAGCAGCAACACTTTCGTTGCGAACTGCCTTGCGCAGGTTCGATCTCATCTGTGTGGGCCCTTGAGGGCCTTTAGCGTGCTAATCTTTTGTAGTACATTCTCAACGCAGCCTCAGTTTCTCAGGTCCCCAGCGAGGCGGCAGCGCACCTCCTGGGCGGCCTGGCAGCGCTGCTGGGCCGCTACAGCATGGTGGGCAGCCAAGTACAAAGTACAGCATTTTGATGCATTTTGAAAGTGGAGATGTTCCAGAAAGTGGTTCTGAAGCAGTTGTGAAGCTGACAGAGGGTTCCTGACAGAGGCCTCTGACATCAGAATTGGACTTTGGCGCAGCGATCTGAACAAGACTGGTTGTCAGCCGTTGCGGGTCAGTCTTTTGAGGCACGGACAGAGGCACTGATACAGCCAGCAACATATCCGCAGCAGCAGGCAGCCACACGACACAACGCCTGTGTGGCCAGCTAGTCCGGCCAGCGAGGAGGACTCAATTATGGGATCATCCGAGTTCCTGCAGACATCTTGGTCTCGGGACTGGTAGCCCGTGTGCCAAAGGAGAACTCCGTGGTTACACCCTTGTCATCTTTTGCATCAGCGCGATGCCTTCTCGAACGCATCAGCATGGAGGCCATATGAGCCTCATGTGGTGTAGCAGTCGAGTTGTCGTTGAGGTTGGGCAGTTCCGTGAATCGTTAGACACACTGACTCGTCTCAGCTCCCTGGCAGGTTGCCCTGCTCAAGGCCTCATCTGTTATTTGGCTTTCCATGTCCATGACATGCACTTCATGTGTGGTGTTCTTGTTTTGATATTCTGTCTTCGCTCGTGCAGGACAAGGACCTGCTGTTGCAAGCAGATGCTTTGCGAAAGCTGGACATTGTCACACACTCTGAGGCGCGTTGTCGACGCACCTCCAACATCTCATGTTCCATTCAACATCTCCGAGTGTGATGTGCCTCTGTGACAGGGATCGCCAGCCGGCAGTCTGCGAATCTGCCGGTCAATGGAAGTGCTTTACTCAGACAAGGTTCAATGAGCAATCAACAAGGCAAGAGAATACTCAATCTTCCTGCGCAATTACAAGGCTTCTTTCGACTAAGACTAAGACGTTAAGACCCATGTGGGAGTTGCCAAGAATTTTTCCGCGAAGTCGACATCCTCCCACAAGGCTTTCGTTGTCCTTGGCTCGGACGCGATCCCTCCAACGTCCAGTCCAAAGGCACGTCGCTTTCGGGCCACGAAACCTGTGAGACCCGGACTGACCCATGTTTCCCCCCTTGTGCGCACCTGCATACCAGGCTGCGCTGACGCTGGTGTGCCCTCGGTGGCCGCCAGTTCCGAATTCATTGCTGAAGCTGGAGCGGTGGCTCTTTTGAGTTCATGTGCATGAATTTCGTGCGTGGGTGGTGCAGCTTCTGTTTGCCGAAGGAGCTTCGTTGCCCACGTGGCTTGTTTTCTCCGGACACAATTGACAGGACCCCGTACACTGCATGCTGCCTATGAATGCTGATGAATGACGCACGACAACAAAGCTTGAGGAAAGTTGATCGAAAATCCCAGCCAGGAAGTTCTTCCTCCGCGAAGCAAAAGCAAAGCATGATGCAATGATGCATTTCAAGCGCGCCGACTACAGCACATGTCTCAGAATTCCTGGACAAATCCATTTGGACCGGGAGCAGAAAGGCATTGGGAGTATTAGGTACTACCAGTTTCTAGATCATTTAGGAGATTCCATGTCGACACGTCGTCACTGACAAAGCATCCGAAACACTGCACACAACTGCCGCTGTTTCTTTTCTCGATCATCGACATCGCTGTAAATGGTCGATGCTCCTCGCCTTTCAAGGAGGGTGAGAGTGCAGGAGCATTTGAGCCAATGGGCCGGGCCAGCTTGCCTTGCCCCACAAGTCCCCAAGCCCAGCTTTTGGCGTAGCCAAAGAATTCGCACACAGAGATATGTCACATCGTAGCACACATCGTAACCGACATCGTATTACACACGTGTACCGTCTCCACGCTATGCGCTGTCCAGCACCTCACCTCGGCAAAGTGGAAAAGAGGCCCCGCAATCCAGGTACTCGGGCTTTGCCTCCCCGGTGTGTATCACACCAATGCCCATCCCACCCATCGCCTACCCGGTCCGTGTGGGTAGTCAACCCTCAACACCTTCTGTCAGAAAATTCATGCTTGTGAAGTCGGCCTACACTCGCCCAACCCAGGCCGTTTCGCGGAAGGACAAATGCTGAGACTAGTTCTTGTGACGCAGAATGACATTCAGTCCTTGAGCTTCGGGGCGGCAGACCTTTCAGGAAGGTGAGGGTGCAGGGTTCTAGCAAGCGCCTCTAGGATAATTATGGCACGCAGCTTGTGATCAACGTGAGCATAAATATTTGTGCGCATGTTCTGCATGCCCCAGACTCATCAAACATACATGATTGCAAGGGGTTCAAAGGAAGCAGAAGTTGATGGTGCAAAAGCCTTGGCGCAGATGTGAAAAACACCATTGCTGAACTTGAAGATGTGCAACCATATCATTTTGTCATTCTTCATTTTTATGTGTTTAATGTAACCATGAGTTGAAAAATATCTGAGCAGCAATTTATGAAAGACTTTCGAACACACAAGTTTGCAAAATTGCAATGAATCCACAAGTTCGTTACTTTCATTTTAACTGAAAACGATTCCATGGAAAATTGCTAGCATGTATGAATGATGGTCTTAATTATATCATATCTATGGATCATGTTAAGCAATGTCATAAATTAGTCGATAGTGGTAAATTGGACTAAAGTGAAGCTGAAAGCTGAGGGCTTTACTGTGCCAGGATGCTACGACACCTGACAGCACTCTTGGACAACATGGCTAGGCCGTCGGATGCGTGTTAAACAACTTGTTGATGTTGGCTTTACTGTCTGCTTTACCATCACCTCGACGTATTTCGTGGTTTCTGCAGGTCACCAACAAGTGCCCTCTGCCAACTGCCGCTTCATGAGCCCAGCTCGTCCGACGAAGCCGAAACTATGAAGTGGGAGGACGCATTCAGCTACTTGGCCGCAGATTGACATGATTGACACCTCTGGGTAGTTGTGTGGTGTTGTGCCGCGAAAACCGCTCCCTGCCCCTCCGGACTCCATGACACAGCCATAAGCTGCGGACTTTTCCCGAAGTTTTCCGCCGCTGCTGGGAAAGTTTGTCCTATAGATTATGTCTGCTGTGACCGAATTGCTGCAAGTCTGGGGAAAATATTGGAGCCTTGTCAGGCTTAAAGCCGGAATGGAGCTTTGTCAGGCTTAAAGCCGGAAAAGGTACTCGCTGTGCGGAGGCGGCGTAACCTTCCTTGCGCCCGACAACGAGACTTCGCATATCCCGTCACTGCAACTTTTCATCCGAAACCTCAGGCTAAGATGGGCTCAACACGCGGGCACAGCTAGGACAAACAAGTTTGACAAGACATGAGGCAAAATCTCGTAATTTGATGCCGCGGCTCCCGAACCCAAAGGACTCAAAGGATTGTGACGATCTCGTTACCTACATTACACCAGCAAGCCCGGCAAGCCCCCCGAACTGAGGGCCCTAGCTCCTCAGCCCGACATAGACAGACCGACTCAGACGCACTTTCCGGCTCTAGGAAGACTACATAATTGTGTGCGGCCCAGACCGATCCCAAGCTCAGGCTCTTCCTGTTATAGTTCGCAAGCGGCGAATCATTTTTCTGCGGACCGCTCCATGACGTCCATGTTCCTTGGCCTGCAGTCATTTGCGGGTCTGAGCTTTACTGAGTGTTCGAATTGTGCGAGGATCGCGGCCACTGCTGCAGCATCGCCTCATGCACTCGCCATGATCGACGATGGTACCGGGGCCACCTACACCTATGAGGACTTTGGGCAGACTTTGCGTCATGCCGTACCAGCTTGCGTTCAATGGACGGCCTTTGTCCGTTGTTTGTTAGAATATAGTTCCCGTGAAGCTTTCGTATGTTTTAACTCTGCGGGACTCGCCTTGCCCGGGACCTGTCTAAAGGCGAGGCAGTCCCAAACGGTGGGAATCGTGGGTGCATGCTATGGTCACGAAGACACGAAGACACGAACACACGAAGACACGAAGACACGACGACACAGAAAGGAGCGCCGAAATGAAGCGGCGAAGAGGGGCTAAGAGAGGGGATGGCGGTTTGGGGCGGCACCTGCTTTATGCTACCCAGACACCTACAGGCCGAGGCTTCGGCGAGTACAAAGAAGTATTAGAAGAAAGAGCAAGGAAAGAACATCATAGTACAAGTCCAAGGAACAAATGGGAGTTTACGAAAACTTTAAGGGCCCCAAATTCTAGGACTCCCTTACAATTAAGACCCCAATAAGGTATCCCTAATCTTGGAAACCTCCACAAATGGCAAAATTAGAAGTTGAAACATCTCAGACATTATGGAGGAAAGGAGAGACGGAGAGACGGTCGGACTGAGGGAAGTTCGGACAGGGGACACAGAGAAGGAGGGAAGGCTAACATCCCGCAGCGAATCCCGCAGAGTATCCCTTATCCCGGAGTGCCCATCCCCAGAGAATCCTGAGAGTATCCCCGGAGTGCCCGATCCTAGATGATCCCTGCAGTGGCCCTACAGTGTCCACATCAAACTGCATAGCTTTTTGGTGGAGATGTTTGATGACAGCTCATAGATGAAAGAAACGGGAATAGCCCAACTTGCACATGCCATTGTTTTTGCGATTGTTGTTACTGCGAAAATGCTACGTTCTTCTTACCAATGCGGCTGCCTCGACATCTGGACGTTGTGGAGGTCAAAAACGATGACTGTCACGAGGATTGTGACCGAGCTCCGCCTGATCTTTGTGCCTGTTGACATGTGAGATGCCTTGGATATCTGGATTGCGCAGAGATCCAAGCACGATGAAGTTCATCAGGTTGGTGACCTGGACCCACTCCATCCCAGAATGGACCCCCGACCCGCCACATTCCCACTGTTGACGCTTTCGACATGGCAGGAGGAGCATCATATGAGTTTGATCTTTGATTATTTGCGCTGTTACCCTCCAGGAGACTGATATTGTCATCATTGCTACATATTTTGCTATTCGTTGATGCAAGAATGACTGCTGACGAATGTTGAAGCTACTGGACACCAGAAATATGGTATTTCTACGTTTGGAGCGTCTGCCAATGCTTCAAGCTACTGAAGAGACACAACCTTCGTACATATCCAAATGTGCTGTCTTTGTGGACGTGTTTGGAGCCGCCAAGAGCTAGGAAACGCGGTCTTTACAGCAATTGAAGCTGTAGAACACCTCGAAAAGGTGAGGTTTGTTGTATTTTCGCTTTGTTGCCTACAGAACGCTACCCGAAGAATTCCTTACGCCCTCCCCACCTCAGTATACCTGCCAGGAAGTCATGCAGATGTCAAGTGCCTCGCTGCAAACTGGAAGCTGCTAAGGGTCAATGGACGTTTGCTTTGGAGGTGTGCTACATGGTGCTAGCCATTCATACCACAGTATGTTGCTGCACTTAACCTGTACTGATTGTGGAGAGCAAGTCCAGTACTCTGCTACCAGAGTGGCATGGGTGCAGTTGAAAATGGTGGTCGGCGAGCGGCTCGGAGAACCGCATGGTTCCTCATGTGCCTTTAAATCCCGAGGTTCCATAGCCCACAGCCTTGTTCGGACAGGGGAGTCTCGACGGCAAAACGCGCCGCGTTGTCCAGAGAAGCTGCGTGCATGTCATGGCAACGACCATGCAGTCCTTGACTTGAACAGGGATGTCCGACATGGACCAAGACCAGCCCAGGTTTCCGTCGACACTCTGGTCCCTCTAATGGCTTCAAGAGGTGTTGAGATGATCTTGGGCATTCTTGGCATCATTCGAACCGGAAGTGGTTCTGTCCTGAGAATCCCAAAGTACACTTTCTTTGTCCCCCTTGCTGCCCTTGATCTAGGCAGCAACAATGCAAACGCAGTGAAAGCAAGCATTCGGCCAAGCGCATTACGCACCTTGGGGAATCGAAAAATGAGGCTATGTCCCATTGGACCTGCACTGGCCAGACGATCGGCTTGAAGATGTGCTGCGCCAATGCCGGTCGAAGGTGCTCGAAATCTTGTAGAGAAGCAAGGCAATCATTGCACAGCAAGCGAGAGCCGCCCGAGCAGAAGCCCGCAATGTCTTGACCAGGTGGTCCTGGCATCGTCTGATTGCCACAAGAAGCTCGCCCAGATTGCTCTCCAGGCATGCCGCACGATGTCGCCATAACATACCACTGACCAATGCATAGCTAAGCTGGGAGTACTGGGCAGATAGCTCATAGCCAAGTCGCAAGGCCTTGGTCCTGAAATATCCTTCGTACCTTTTGCACTCTTCTCTTTGCACATAGAAGCCAATCAGAGACATGGAGCATCAGAATCCGACATGAAGACTGTTTCACGAGCTCCTGCCTTACCATGGCGTACCAACTGTGCCAGGCGGAGATCTCGCATGTTCTGGACATTTCGATGAGTGCAGCAAGCGGTGGTTCCTTGGAAGATCGTGGCTCTGGCAGCACGCTTGTCTACACCTTCTTCACCTCTGGCACTACTGGGAAGCCCAAAGGAGTAATGGCCCACACCTTAGCCCTGTGTGCTTCTCGAGATGACAATTACATCCGTCAAATTCCGGATGATGCCGCAGACCTAAGGTGGAGAACAAAGGACTCGTGAGGGGCCCAGACTCCTTCACTGACTGAAAGTCGACACTATGTTGCGCGTGCGTGCGCGCGTGCGTGCGCGCGTGCGTGCGCGCGTGCGTGCGCGCGTGCGTGTGCGCGTGCGTGTGCGCGTGCGTGTGCGCGTGCGAGCGTGAGCGTGCGAGCGTGGGTGTGGGTGGGCGCACGTCGAGAGTGCGAGCGTGCGAGCGTGCGAGCGTGCGAGCGTGCTAGCATGCTAGCGTGCCAGCGTTCGAGCTGCGCCGTGCGCCGGTGCGCCCGTGCGCCCGTGCGCCCGCGCGCCGTGCGCCCGTGCGCCCGTGCGCCCGTGCGCCCGTGCGCCCGTGCGCCCGTGCGCCCGTGCGCCCGTGCGCCCGTGCGCCTGTGTGTGTGTGCGTGTGCGTGTTGGTTGGGTGTGTGGGTTGGTTGGTGGGTTGGTGGCTTGGTGGCTTGGTGGCTTGGTTGCTTGGAATGTAGGGTCGGGACCTTTCAAAATCCGAAAGAATCCCAGAAGATTCAAGCAGTAAATCATGGATGCCAGGGGGGTTTTGGGTGGTGGGGGGGTGGTTAGGCTTATCCCCATCTTATCCCAATCTTCTGGATGGTTTCGGGGTATGCTTGGATGTGCATAATGGATATTTCTGGATGGTTCCGGGATAAGTCTGGAAGGTTCCTGGATAAGTCTGGACAGTTCTGGGATAAGTCTGGATAGTGCCCCTTGTAGGAGTTTCCTATGGCGGGGATAAGTCTGGAAGGTTTTGGGATAAGTCTGGACGGTTTTTGAATGGATAAAGTTGGAGAGATCTGGAAAGCTTCTGGATAAGTCTGGAAAGGCTATCTGGATAGGTGGCTTTTCCAACCAACCCCCCACCCACCCACCCCCCCAGCATCCGTGAGTAAATCCCAAGCTCACTGTGCTTTGCCGTCCCAAGAAAAAAATCACATCTGTGCCGCATGTTTTCTGTGACGCCTCATGCATGGAGTTTGCCAGGTTTTGTTGGGTATTTCTTCGGCGTTTACTATTTTTTGGGGTGTTGTAAGGCCCCGTTTGAACAATAATAACGCAATCCGACTCTCTGATTGTGGTTCCAGACACCCAATATAAGAAGCTGCACCAGTATCACTGCAACATGCATTCCACAGTCACACTGGCTTGAGCTAGGTGCACCGAATCCACTGGTTTCAACAGAAGTGGCCGCTCCAGCAAGGAGAAGGTGTCGTCTCCAAGGCACATCATTGAGTGTGATGGTGTGCCACAAGACAGTTGACACTCGGACGGGAAACCTGCACAGAGATGCCCCATGAGGTTGCGTACACCTTCGGTTTATCCGAGTGGGAGATCTTTTGGCCACTGGTCGCTGGAGCTACGCTGATCCTGGCACCACCAGGATGGGACTTAGTCGCTGGTGAAGACTCAGTGAAGACTGTGATTTATGTGCTTGATGGGTCTACTGGATGTTTGGCAGGTGGAGAGAAAGATGCCGACTATCTCCTGCGCCGCGCCTGCAACGCGTTCGTTCCACCTGAGCCTAAGGAGGCATGGTGCTCGTATGCTGCCGTGAATCTGCGGTGAGTCTCCTGGGCATGAAGCTTTCTCCGTTGCCGAAGGATGCAAGGCTGCTTCCCGGCAGGGGGCCTCCCGACCTGGTTCACTGCGTGGCAGCGCACGTCTTTGTGCCTTGCTTCAGGGATGAATCAGAAGTAACACTTCCGCGCAGAGACGCCCTGTAAAAGCGGATATGCTATTTCGGTGAAAGGAGAAGATGCAGCCATCGACTCCCCCCAAAACGACCCACCAGTTTGGAACATCACAAGCTGTTGAGGGACGTAATGTAGCGATGCGTTGCGTGTAGCCGCTTGGCTAAGAAGTGTACACATGTGCTCACATGCTACAGTCTTGGAAACTGGAGGTGCCCTCCATGCTTCAGATGGTTCTGGACAAGTACGATGAGCTTGAGGACGCTTCGGTCATGTGTTTTTTTTTCTCATCTGTTTTCCAAAGCTGAGTATGGACCGGTGTGGATGTGGAGCGCAGGATGTTGAAGGGCTGAGCTGAAGAGTCCATGGCATTTTGTCATTCTGCCAAGGGTTCCAAAATCCTTGGCCAGTCCTTGGCCCATCATGCTACAACATGGGGCTCCGTATCTCGTCGATGCTTGTTCAGGAAGAGGACTTGCAGCGCAAAGCCGGGGAGCATCACGAGGAAGGTTTCCTGAGCTGAACCATCGGAAGCCTAGCCCAAGCGCAAAAACAACTACCCAGTACGATGTGGAGAGCTTCGGCACATTGCGGTGGGTGAATTGAGACTTTCACGGCTTCCAAAAAAACGGCTGCAAACGTTTTAACGTCCGAGAAGGTGAGGTGCAAGAGCTGACAGCTAAGGCACCTGGTGGCACCACTCCAAGGCTCGGGAAGTGATTACCTGCGGGGAGGCGCTGAGCCCGGCCCTGGCACAGAGACTTAGATTGGCGTTAGATGCGCCCCGAACCGACTTCTTCTTAAACATGAAGACTCAAAAGTGGAGGAGGGTTCGGGGCCCATGCCGCGAAGCCCAAAAGTGGACAGGGTTCGTAGGAGTTTGGTCTTTAAACAGTCTCAAAAGCCATGATGTTCCCCCGCCTTGCAAACCGCTGGCACAAAGGAAGATGTTCTCTCGATTCCACTGCACGCTGACCAACTTGTACGGCCCTACAGACTCCTGGGCTTGATTCAGGTGAGCATCCGTTTTTTTTTCAGTTCTGGTGCGAGCTACTCGTGCATAAGTATGCCTTGAACCGGGATTCTTTTCTCCACTTTGTATCTCATGTGAGGAAGGGGAGATGAGCTATTGGGACGTTCCGCAGGGCCGTGCGCTGCTGCGTGTCTCCGCTGGTCGCCCAATGGATGGCTGCAAGGTCCCCTTCTCGCAAATGTGCCGTTGCCCTTTCAAATTTCGGGAACGGCAAACACAGCTCAAATGCTCAGTCGCTTGACAAGTACTGTAGTCAGGCACTCTGCAAGTAAAAGGCATTGCCGAGGGCACGGCCAGGGTTTCCCCCGACGACCGTGAAAAGAGAGAATAAACCACACCTCCCTCGACTCGTGCAGTGATCGCGCAGTGAGGTCGCGCTCATTTGGATATGGAGCGTTGAGGTTTCAGGTTTGAGGGTTAAAGGATAAACAGCAGCTTGTGAGCGTGGGCAGGGCAGGGTTTTGACCCTTACCGTTACGATGATCATGATCTTTGTGGCTCCGATGCAATGCTTGCTGATCATCACGATGAGGATAGATTCGGATAGATGCATTAGATCTAGGCGCTCGGCATTGAGCTTTTCACGGTTGTGATGCTAGTTGCTGGCCCGCATCCCTCGCATGCGAACGTGGGAAGGGGGGCACCTCGTACTGCGCAGATTTCCTGAGACAAAAGGAAGATACCGGGCAATTCGGTGCGCAACAGCGCGGTTAGATCGCGGCGCAAGTGTCGTGTCCGGGAGTCTCACACCTTGGCTGGGCACACGATCGTATCCCTGCACGCCTTCCTTAAAAAAGAAAAGTGTGCTTTTCTGGCTCCTGATCTTAGGTGGTCCTCACCGATTTGAGGGACCAAAAGGCCGTCGGGGGCCTGGAGCCGGCGGAGATCGCCTTCGGAGGGCCCTTCATTGCACGCGGCTACCTGGGAAGGACCGAACCAATGAGCATCAAAACTTCAGAGGTTCAGAGGTATTTCCATTTCTCAGTTTTAAGCAAAACATGCGGATGTGCTGAGAGCATCTGAGAGCACTCTTTTGGACAGCCTGTTAGTGTTGCCGCAGCTTTTCGTGTTACAGAGGAATTTGTCTCCTTCACCCGCGCAGGCCGGATCTGGATGCCAAAGCCTTCGTCAGTGACTTTACGGCCAAGCCTCACAAAGGTATTTCTTCCAATGGAGACTTGACGTCACATATGCGATGCAGATGGGGGAACTCACTTGTGAACAAAGCCAATCGGTGCGCTGGCCTAGGCCATCCTACCGTAGCTCTCCATGCTTTTTTGCGGATTCGGTGACTTCAGTGAACAGCGTGCAACTTGAGGACTCGGTGCCACAGAAGAAATTTGCAATGCCCCATTGCTTGGAAAGACGGATCTTAGGCTGCATTTTTTTTTCAGAGGCATGACATCTTCTGCAGCATGTGTTCAGCAAGGTATCCAATGCATCCAGTGGGTCGGACTCTACACGCAAGCAGCAACCTGACCGTCTCTACATGACAGGCCTGTGTGGCACGTTCGCATCAGGTTTGCACCCGCTTTGCAGAAGTTTATTGGTGGAGGCGATCTTGGTCGATGGCGCGCCGGTGGTGTCATAGATCTGCTCGGGCGGAAAGACTTCCAAGTGCGAATCCTGGAAGATTTCGCATTCGCACAGATAGGATCTGAGAAAGACAAAGCGGATCATGCTTTCTGCAACTGTAGGTCAAGCTGCGGGGCTTCCGCATTGAACTTGGAGAAATTGAGGCCTATGAACGAACAGTTTGCACTACTAGTAGTGCACAAGCGCCACTTGTGCATGTAACAGGCTGCTTGCCGAGCCGCGGGGGCACGAGCATCGGTCTGCCTGCTGCGGAAGACCAGCAATGGCACACAGGCAGTGGTAGCGATGAACATCCTTCGTCTCTCACTCCCCGCGCCATCTCTCTCTCTCTCTCTCTCTCTCTCTCTCTCTCTTTCCCCCTCCTTCCATTCCCCTGCCTGCCTCGTTCCCTTCCTCTGCCTCTCTCTCGCGCTCTCCCCCTCCCTCTCACTGTTGTCGGTATCTCACTGCAAGCGAAGTGGGGAATCCCAAATTCGACCTCGTGGGCGATCCCTCGAGGCACTGGTTGCCTACTATGAGCCAGGCCGGAGCTCAAGTCATGCTTTGCAATTCCTGCAACAGATTCAGCAAGAAATCAGCAGGTCAGGACCAAGATGTGCCGGAGACGGCGGTTCGCAAGTCCTGCCAGAAGTCGCTGCCGCCATACATGCAGCCGCCTGCTTGCACAGTTCATACCCTTTTCTTTCGTAGATTCCGGCCAGGCGCGGGGAATGGCAGGGCGGAGTCGTGCCGACTGTTGATAGCCGAGCTGCTCCTGCAAGTTAATGTGGCATGGACATCGAGGCCGCAGAGCATTGTTCGCATGGACAAGCTTCCCCGGAACACGAACGGCAAGATCGATCGGAAGATGCACTTTTGCAGCAGCTAATCCTTCCAATTGCAGGCAGCAAGCACGGGGGTTTCCGCCGAAGCCAAGCCGCCAGTCACGAAAGCTGCTGAAAACTTGCTCCGCCAGCTCCCCTTCCAGCGACATAGCGCTTTCGTCCCTCGCTGCGCGTTACAAGTATCCAGCGTATCTGATGTGTTTCTCCACCACCTTTTCCTTAAACCCAAGGCTGCCAGAGCCCCCTGCTGTGGTTGCAAGCCAGACGGAGGATGCTGCGCCAGAGACACCAGCAATGGCCTCGAAATGTCTGGACAAGAAGAAAGTTTGAGTCATGAAGCAGAAGACCCAGGTTCAGAAAACCACCGCAGCGGCAATTGCTGCCGTTCTAGGCACGAACTCCAAGCACCATAGAGCTCTTGTTGCACTTAGCGTAGAAGGAGGTGCTGTCGCTGTCCTTCAAAAGGCCTCCCCGTCGAGACCGTGCAGTTGGACTCTGACTTTCAAGAACTGGGAGGAAGTGGCATCCCCAGCCAGCTTTCAGACGAATGAGGGCATGGAAACGAACGGGTAATCTGATGGTAATCTGTTGAAATATGTTCTTTCTACCCTTGCTGCTCAGATAGCCTATTGATGGGGAGAGCCAGCTCTGCCATCAAGAAGGCCTTCGGCCTTGCCACCTTCAAAGGAACCACAGTGTACCAACTTGGCACAGTCCGACGTCGCCTACCCGCAAAAAGTCGGGCTTCTTGATTCGTCATGCTTCTTTGTGTCGAAGGTTCCTGCTTTGCACGCTAGGTATCGCGGCAGCGGTCGAAAGTCTCCTTTCCAAGCAAGAGGCAGATGCAGGCCAACTGCAAACAGAACCCTCAGGACTGCATGCGCAACCCGTCGTTGGGGCCCGCAGTTACCGCAGATACCGTTTGTCTGAGTTCGGGCCGGCATCTTGTGACCACGATCGAGTACCCATGAGGAGCCTTGGCACTGCAGCCGCAAAGAACTCCTTTCAGCTCCTCCTCACCATCGTCTCTTTTCATACAGTGCGTTAACGTGCTTTGCCTGGCTGTCCATCTTTCTGAGATATTCTGAATGTATTCTCTTCTGCCCCTGCCGGCGAGAAATGCGTTTCGTCCAAGGTCTTCTGCATGAACTTTTTGTTCCAGAGTCAGGCCCGCGCCTCGGTAGGAGGAATTCTATGTTGCCATTTGTCTCATGGAGGCCTGGTCACCGGTCTGGTGGGCAGCCTGGTTTATCTATGAGTTTCTCGATGGCACATGGATACCCTTGATCATTCTTGGTCAATGCGCTGCAAGGGTAAGCTGCACCACCAAAGCACAGCCGCAACCAGAGGGAAGAACATGTTTCAGTCCGCTGCTTGCTGTGCTGAGGTATCACGGGCGCACGGCGCTTTTCCTGTACCTCCCGTTTGCTGCCCTCCTAGATCTCGTATTTGGCTCAGTTCCGGCCAGCGCGCGCAGGGCATGTTGTTGTAAGTTAGCTTGTGCTTGTGTGTTGTCAGCGCGTGACTATGAACTGCTGTGGGGCAAGCTGTTGTTCGCCGATGATTAGTTGGATGCAGTCGGTCCACCTGATGCAATATGAAGAGTAGTAGTGAACGCTGCCCCGAGCTGGAAAAGTCAGCTTGCCGCAGGTGATGATGTTTTGTGCTGTAGTTCTGCTGAAGTGGTTGATCATCGGCCGTGTGAAGCCAGGCCGGTCCATGGGAGTAGGCTGCAGTGGGTTTTGGCAAGCCGCATGTCGATAGGGTTTCTCGTTCTCGAGAGGGTAACCCAGAGCTATGCCAGTATGACCAGGTACTCTGAACTTGTGGTCTGCAGAGCCACAGATGCATCTAATGGCTGCGTGTACTTCACAGATTTCAAGCTTGGTTATTGTTTGGATGACGGCGGCAAGGAGTACTATCGATGGTGGTTTGTGAACACGCTTCTGAACCACACCCTTAAGATGGCCATGCCTCTCTTTGCTGATACATCGATTGCCAGCACTGTTCTACGAGCCTTAGGCGGGCTCGCTTTCTGGACAAGTTGCTGTCGCTGCTGTCTAGGTCTACAAGATCCCAGGAGTCTAGGACTTTTCTCAGATTGACGCACCAATTGAATAGTCTTCTGCAGGTGCAAAGGTGGGTGCCGGCGCCAAGATCGGAGTCTTCGCTGTGCATGACCCAGACCTTCTGGAAATTGGTGCGAACGCGACAATCGGAGTCCTGGCTCATGTTTCGGGGCTTGCTGTTGGCGACCTCAAGAACCGCAAGTACATCTACTGTGCCAACCGCCTTTTGGTTTGCAGCCGCTCTAGTCAGTCATGGTCACCCTGGTGCATGGTCGAGGCAAGAAAGCCAAGCTGGCCACTTCCAGCGTGCTGCATGGCAAGGTCCACTTGGGCCCCATCCGAATAGGCGGAAAAGAGAGAGAGAGAGAGAGAGAGAGAGAGAGGGAACAGCTGCAGCAGGGACAACTGGCGAGGGTGGACCCGCACATATACAAAGCGGCTCGCGTCACGCCACTACGCGCCCAGTGTGCGGAGGGCCGCGACGCCCTTCAAGCCCCGAAGAAGAAGAAGAAGAAGCAGAAGCAGAAGAAGAAGAAGAAGAAGAAGAAGAAGAAGAAGAAGAAGAAGAAGAAGAAGAAGAAGAAGAAGAAGAAGAGAGAATCTCACGGTGACTGGATGCAGACCTGGACGCGCCCAGTGTGCGGAGGGCCGCGACGCCCTTCAAGCCCCGAAGAAGAAGAAGAAGCAGAAGAAGAAGAAGCAGAAGAAGAAGCAGAAGAAGAAGCAGAAGAAGAAGCAGAAGAAGAAGAAGAAGAAGAAGAAGAAGAAGAAGAAGAAGAATAAGAAGAAGAAGAAGAGCAGAGAGAGCGAGCGAGAGAGAACAAAACAAGTAGCCATTTTGGCTCAAGACTTGCTCAGACTGCTCAGCTGACCCACTAGGTCTGGTGGTGGAAATAATGCAAGCCTGAGGTGGTGTCGGATAGGCAGTGTGGATGGAAGAGTGCCGTTGTACCACAGGCAACCCCAAGCTGCTCTTGTTCCAACCTCACCGGGTGAGTCGATCAAGGGCGGTAAGGGCCGAGGGGAGTGCGCTTTGTACGGGGGCCAAACAAACCAACCAGATGGACTGTATCACGTGCGAGAACCCCACCAGGAGCCCAAAAGAGCTCACAAGCCTGCGAGGGAAGTGCTTCGGGTGAACTGGGATCAAGGCACAATAGGCGGGGAACGCAAGCAACCCGGTAAAGGAGGTTCTTGTGTTCAAGTCTCAGGAAGGCTGAGACTGTGGGCGTCGGATTCCCTCAAGCCTGGCAGAAGAAGTCGAAGAAGAAGACGAAGAACTAGAAGAAGAACTAAAAGAAGAAGAATAATGAGAATAAGAATATGAAGATGAAGGTGAAGATGGAGATGAAGATGAAGAAGAAGACGGAATAATCAGAGAGAGAGAGAGAGAGAGAGCGAGCGAATAAGAGAGAGAGTGAGAGCGAGCATGCAGATTGCTTGGGAAGCTTCTGGCGCAGAGCTGAAACATAGCAGACAACATCGAGCTTGAGCCTTATGCCACTTGTTTTGCTGTACTAACTTCACTCGGGGCTATTCGCGCTGCTCGAGGGCAAGAGGTGACGCCCCCGCCACCCTAGTCCAGAGGAAAGAAAGAGCATGTGCAAGAGAAGATCAGCCCCTGGCCTCATGGTTGCCAGAAGAGGAAATGCCCATGCTGGAGATTTGTGTTGGCCCTTTGCCAGGCGACCGAGCAGCTGTTGGCCCAACAGCAGTCCTGGCCCAGGAGCCAGCTGACATGGCTTAAACTGGCACCCATGCCCTGAGGCCTCAGGCCCCACCATGTGATTTGCCATCGGGTGCCTGCCAGGACACAGTGGTGCCGGCCGGCAAGGCCGTGCTGCCATTGTCGACGATGCCAGGCGACTTGGTAGAAATCGTCACCACGAGGTGTAACAAAGGTGACTGGTACCAGTTCATACCGACATTGTTGTGGCAGCTACATGCCTGGATGCTCAGCCCAGATCTCCCCCAAACCATGACCCTCCACATTTTCGAGCAAGTTTATCGTTCTCCGCACGCTCTTGAGGCTGGCACGGTCCGGTGGGCTCAGTGGCTTTCAGGGACGCTCAGCCGCCACGTACCTCTGTACCTCAGCCGCAACGGGGTCTTGATCTGCTCCCGCCTTGCCAGTATACGGCAACGATACATTTCAACAAGGTGGAGTTCGATCGGAGACAGAATCTCCTCCGTGTCCTGTTCGGCATGCCTGCCGTCCTCATGGCCGAAGTTATTCCGCACCTTCACCAGCACTCACGAGTCTAGGCGCATCTAGGCGCTGCGAGCCAAGCATGGAAGGGATGAGCTCATGCCGCTGAGCGCGATTCGCAAATTTGGACAGGAAGCACGTAATGCCAGAGCAGTGAGGCTTTGTACATAGCGCTCGAACTACAGAATCTGCCGCGCTAGCCAAGACAGCCAAGAGATGGAACGCGCATGCAACGTGGCAACGAAGGTACTATCTTACGTACTTTGTGCTGGTGTGGACGTACGATGGTTTATATGCCAGCGACAAGTACACAGCATTTGCCATCTGGAGTGTTTCGACACTGCACTGGGAAGTGTGCATGATGGATCAGCACACAGGCTGTAGCTGTGACACTGCATGTGAGAAGATGTGTGCAGGTTCTTTTGTCTTGGATCTACGCGCATCCAATGTGGCTCCGACGATGCACTTGGAATGTTTTCATTTTCATGGCATCGACAGGGGCACTCCTAGGGGTGCTTTTTTGCAAGAAACATGCAGGTTCTTCCGCCTCGTCGTGGTCATTTTGCAGAAGCGATTGCTGATAGGCTTGCGTTTCTTTGGTTCAGTGTCGCGAGATGTGATGAGCAGGCTGCAAGTGTGTCTCTGTGTATGCGTGTGAGCGCGTGTGCGCGTGTGCGTGTGTCCGTGTGTGTGTGTGTGTGTGTGTGTGTGTGTCTGTCTGTCTGTCCGTCCATCCGTTTGTCTCTCTCTCTCTCTCTGTGTCTGTCTCTCTGTATGTCTCTCTGTATGTCTCTCTGTCTGTTTCCGTCTCTCTGTCGGTCTCTGTCCCTCTGTCTGTCGGTCTCTGTGTCTCTCGGTCTCTGTCTCTGGCTGTCTCTCTGTCTGTCTCTCTGTCTGTCTCTCTGCCTGTCTCTCTGTCTGCCTCTCTGTCTGTCTCTCTGTCCGTCTCTCTGTCTGTCTCTCTGTCTGTCTCTCTGTCTGTCTCTCTGTCTGTCTCTCTGTCTGTCTCTCTGTCTGTCTCTCTGTCTGTCTCTCTGTCTGCCTGTCTCTCTGTTCCCGGTCTCGGTCTCTGTCCGTCTCTATCTGCCTCTGTCTGTTCCTCTCTGTCTCTCATGTGCGCAGGTGACTTTAGCACGCAGGGGCAGGAGATCAGCCATTGGAATGAGTGGAAACACTGGATTCACGCTCGCGCAGTTGAGTCGCACGATTTTGAGGACCGTCAACGTGGCAATGTGCATGCTAGGGGCTGTCGACTTTTAAGCTCCGATGATGGCCAGTGACACACAATTGCTTCTGCGCTGAAGAGCAGCTTGGCTTCATCGTAATTTTACGAGGATTTCATTGAGGGTGGGCGGTCTAACAACAACAGAAACCTTTTTACAGCAACAGAGGGAAAAAAACAGCAACTCTATTTGACCAAGCGGTAACTTTCTCGGTTTCTTCTGTCTCTGCTTGTACGATAATGAAGCTTTTGCCTCTCACTTTGCAATCCACATTTGGTTTGACGGCAGAGCACTTGGACTTGGATCCATCAACCCCGGGCTCGAACCCCACGAGTGCTCTTTCGGAGAGTCTCCAGATCTCTTGAAAGTTGTGTTGGGGGGGGCAGATCTCTTGAAAGTGTCTCCAGATCTCTTGAAAGTTGTGTTGGGGGGGCAGATCTTTCGGAGAGTCTCCAGATCTCTTGAAAGTTGTGTTGGGGGGGCAGATCTTTCGGAGAGTCTCCAGATCTCTTGAAAGTTGTGTTGGGAGGGCAGATCTCTTGAAAGTGTCATTGACACGAGCTTCATGAACTTGTGTGAAGTGCTGTGAACCGGGCAGGAGGTCTTGGAAGGTGACCTTTTTTAATTAACGGTTGTCAGTCGGGTCATGTTAAGACGAAGTGTTTGATGCAAATCGTCGACCGTGAGAGCCACGGTGGTCATGCCAGTCTTGGTCAGATTGTGTTGCTGCTCTTGCCCTCGAGCTTGTGTCAACCTGGTCTCGTACCACGGCCTCCGCCAACTCTACTAGCTTCTCTTGTGCCACCGGGACAACGACAATGGTTCCTTCCTCCGCTATTTCTGTACTGGCCTGTTCCTTTGGCTTCGCTGCTTTACAGCCATCGCTTTTTTGGGCTTCTATTTGTATTCCTGCCATCTTTGATGAAGGTTTGCCAGTACAATCAATTTTGCCCGCGAGTTCCTCTCGGAATGTTGCGTTGATGTTTGCAACGTTTGCAGTTTGCATCGTTGTTGAGGGAGGGTTCGATGGAAGGACGTGGCTCCCAACTGTAAGTTCGAAGTTCGGTGCCTTGTCTTGGTGTTTGGTATCTTCTGGCTGGACAACAGAAGCCGTGCCCCAAATGGGTGTAGGGCTTCTGATGTTTGGAGTTCGAATCCGGAACCCGGATGCCTAACTAACCCTCCAGGCCCTAAACCTAAGGCTGGCCAAGATTTTAGGGCTCAAAACCTGCGACTTGGATCTGAAACCCCTCAACCCTCTTATTCGCCTTATTACAAAGCAGTGGCAAGAAACTTAGAAGCGACGGTTGGACTAGTGATGTGGGTGGTGCTCGGGGCTTCCTTGAGCTCAATGATTCGTGCCCTTGGGCTTGTGCGCGAAGCTCCCGCGGGCCCTCATCTGAGTCACCCTGACCCTTGGCCACTGACGGCCTTATTGCTTTCCTGCTGGTATTGGCAGATACTGCATCGATCATCGATACTGGCAGGAAGCTTGCGAGATGTTTACCAACACAGAGATGCTCTCCTACATATACCGTGCGCTCGGCACCAAAGTTGGGAAGCGCGTTCAGATTGACCAGCCCCTCAGACGGCATATCGAGTTATGGAGCCACGTTGAGTTCATGAAAGTAGGACGGCTAAAGCTCCGTGAAGATGAGAGTGAGTAGTGGTGTCACAAAGACACCCCTGACATCCTTTCTTTAGTCAGGCTAAGCTTTGTGGAGAATGACTGCATCACGATCGATGACTACGTCGTGTTTGGCAGTGAAGTCATGCTGTACACAGACACGCAGGCGCCCTGGGTGTCCGAGGAGTACGGCAAGAAGTTGCAGAAGAAGCGAGGACTCCCACGAATGGCATTGCAATACGTGCGATACACGCCGATGCCCCTCAATGTCTTGAGTTCAACAAGGGTAATAAGGGCATGCTATGGCATGCTGCTGTGCCTTGTCCCACACCTACAGGATCCAAGCAACGCTACGCGGACATCCACATCTGCCAAGCAGCCAACGTTCTGGACCATTGCTCTCTGCTTCCAGGGGTTACGGTGGCAGAGCGTGCAGCTAGCCCAGAATGTGTGCAAGAAATGACAGCCACCAAACGATACAAAGACGGTACGTTGAACTTTCCTGAGCTCAGGCGGTGCTTGGCACATGCACACTTGCCTCTGCGGGCAGCCTCCTGGTGCAAGATCTGAAACTCTTGGACGCAGCATGTGAAGCTGTTGCTTATGCATCATTTTAGAGAATACATTCGTCACGGACGCGGCAACCAGAAGCTGAGGCTACTACCCCCCGCTTGCAATCCATTCTGGCAGCCAGCGAGGCCTGTGCGAGCTTCACTCATATGGGACTTCTGCGAACTCTGCTCACAGTCTGCTCATCTCTGCTCACAATGTTCTGCCCCGAGGCCGCTCGATGCATCTGCGGGACTACTTCGCCACTCCAGCCATGAGGGTCACCTGGTAGAAGTTTTTGAAAGAGCAGCACAGTGCAGCAGAGCGCAGCAGAGCGCAGCATAGTGCAGCTAGTAGGAGCGTGTGATAGCAAGCTTGATTGAGCAAAGCCATAGGCGTGCATGTTTCCTCCAAATCATAGTCGATCAGCACTGCTTCCGCAGTCGGGCTCGCTGAATGAGCGGGAAGTGCAGATGCCTCGCTCTTTCCAAAGACTGTGAAGGACCTGGAAGACAAAACCATGCAAGACCTCGACAGCCCTCTCACATGGTGGAGGCTGAGTCAACGACTGTTGTGACTGTTAAGAGCCATACCCACTAGGATTTTGCTAGTGAAGTGGCCGGGATCAGGTTCAATCTTGTGATACTTGTGGTCATTTTGCCGCTTGGCGGAAGGTAGTTGATTTCTGAACCGTCCCATTAAAGAAGAATTCTAGGGCTACAGGGCGGCTAGTTGGGTTTAGATAGGTTTGGCAATTCCAAGAGAGCTTGAAGAGTCGGGTTGAGTTGGAGAGACGAATTCCTTAGCGGACGTGCTCTCTCCGGCCCAGGATAGCAAATCCAATTCCAGAAGCCGCATGGGTTCTGACCTACTTTGGAGTGACGTCAATCTGGGACATTGACGACGCTGCCGGTCTGCTAAGACTGCTTTCGGGGTGATGTGTCGGCATGCAAGGCTGCTAGGACCGCTGGGGAGATCTCTCGCAAACAGATAGAGAGCGAGAGGGAAGCTAGCGATTTCACCGGCCAACCCAAGGATTGTTCGTGCACAGGGCCAACAGATAGATCGTGCGCGCACTAATGTTGGATGATGATCAGTGTAAACCACCCCTCAACAAAATGATCCCATCCTTTAGCGGGGGGGGGGGGGGGGCAATTTGAGGGTTGGGGTGGCGAGGCTGTCACAACAATCTCAGAAGGCGCCCCCAGGAACGCAACAGAGTACCGATGGGGGATGCTCGGAGTTGGACATCAGATTTGCGGGGGCGGGGAAATGGAAAGATCGCAGCCGGGTAATCCTAGTTGCCGCACAGTCTCCGCATTGAAGCCGACAGAGGCCAAGGGGCATGATTCGGCCAATCCGTGAACCATGCATGTTTTTCCACCGAGACTCATTTTGTTTGCTGCATCCGTGGTGTAAACTCGAAGGAGCTCAGGGAGGGGGAACGCGCGGTGAACAGAAGGGGATGTCTGATATCAAGCCCCCCCTAACCTCCGATGAGCCGCTGAGACAGTACGGCGGGCCCCCGAGGCCGGAGTGCAGCGTGTTGGGGAATGAGGTGTCTCAAACCCCCCACCTCACGTTGCCCCAAAAAAAAGGGGCACGCGACTGCGTGGGGGCTTGCCTCCAGAGAGACAGAGGCGGAGGCAGAGGCGGAGGCGGAGGCAGAGAGAGCGAGAGCGAGAGCGAGAAGGGAGAGGGGAGCTCCAGAGATTTCTAGGAGTACCAGGCCACAGAAACTCAAGAGATCTCTGGAGCAGCCTTGAGGGTGGGATAGTCACGGCTGCTGAGAGGGAGAGATACACTCTCCTCGTTCGACAGCCATCTTGAATTGAGTGCGCTGTCAAAGCAGTACGACGGCAGTGTCTTGTTCATCTAAGGGTTCCCTTTTGACCCTGTTGGTCCTCACTCCAGTTGCCGCAGCCCTACTACAGCGGATGCTTCTATCTGACTTTGTGCGCATCAGTGGCATGTCGCGGTTTCCCTGAAGACTGCTACAAGCTTCGATTGCAGTCTTGCCTTTCAGTGTTCGCATGACCAAGGTTTACAACGTGATAGAATTCATTCTGCTGCTTGATTCCATTTGGTCATATTTCCTTAGGCTGTAAGACCACAGCTCATTCTATTTACAAACCTTCAGAGGTTACTTGCCAACATTGCGCTGAAATGGATCATCGTTGGCAAGTACAAAGCAGCCTGACCGTTTTCAGAGGGCCTACAGTGAAGTGCAGTCGGGGGGCTGCCGATGGGAGTACAAGGAGCAGGAGGGGGCTGACGACCTTTTTTGTGTGAACTCCCCAGCTAGAGATTACGGTAGACTCCGAAAGAGCTTTGCCTGAATCATGCGTGCCAGTGGTCGTGCTTCTCCAGAAACGGCCAAACTGCTTCCAAGGCTGGAGAGTACAAGTTTTTTGGCAGCTACCACGTGGCCAAGCTGCCTTTTCGTACTCTCTTCCCCCCTTTCATATCTCTTTCGTCTCTCCCTCTCTCTCACTCTCTCTTCCTCGTTCGCTTGTCTCTGCCTCTCCCTCTCTCTCTCTCTCGCTCGCCCTTCCTCCATCTCCCTCCTCTCTCTATGATTCTCACGCTCTCGCGTTCCGGCCAAAGGGCTTAGCAGGAACTTGATGCTCACCTGTGAGAATCTAAGATGCGATGGATGATTATGATGATCTGTGGATCAGGCCAATCTGCCTAGGAGCAGGCTTTCATACGAGGCTTTTGCAGCAGCAGGGAACAATGGGACACGACCCCGTGAGGCATTTCCGCGCTTCAGGATTGCCTTCACGGTACCATATTCGAGGCGCCTGGTGACTCCTCGTGAAGTGGTTCTCTGCAAATCATGATTGTCCTTTTGTAGGATCTTCTGCGAAGTTGTCTGGTGAGGTGTGGGTTGCCCGGGCCTGCGGTGCCAAGGTCGGCAAGGACCTTTGCCAACCCTTGAGGCAGTCTCTCGATGTAACTATGGAACAACAGCCCATACGCTTTGTCAAGGGTCTCGTGCAAAATCTACGTGCCCCTTTCCTCTAGCCTGCTAAATAAGGAGCATATGTACGTTTCACCGCAAAGCAGCGCTTTGTGAAGGATTGCTACTTGGCAGGGCTTATGGTCGAGTACGATTTGCTGGACATAGGCACCGGTGCCTTGCCCCTTGCGGGTATAGCGAGGAAAGTTGCCCGTGCGAAGCCAGGTGATCACGTGTCCATCGGCTCTGGGTTTTGGCCCTAGTGTGGACTATTGCGGATTTCTTCAGAAAGAGACATTAGAGCAACGGCTCAGCTGCGTGAAAGTTTGGGGTGAGGTTGGTCTCTCTGAATCATTGCTCGTGACAAAGGTGCGATACTACCGGTCACACTGTAGAGAACATGGTGATCAAGCTCGCTCCGACTAGGCTTTGTGAGCTTTACCATCATAGATTTGCAAAAAACTGCAAGACAACAGTGTCATGCAGATTTGGCGCAAATGCATTGATCAGGATAGGAGATGGAGCAGCACTTTTGCCAGGCAACTCGGCTGCCGTAAAAACTCTTCGGTAACGTACTCTGCTCGTGTACACATGGTCACGAACAACTCTAGCATTGGATGCCCAGGTCCAGTTGCGCGCTTGGGTTTTCTTTGGTTCCCGGATGTTGTTACAGGCGATTAGAGCCGGTGACAGAGTCACCGCCTGCAAAGTGCTCGTAAATTTTGATAGAGGCAGATGTCGTCGCTGGCGTAATGATAGAATGTGCCGCTTGTAGAACCTGCGCAAATTCGCCATGTGAAAGCACCCTAGCAAACGTTTTGGTGACGAAAGTTGCCGCTTGTACAACCCGTGACCTTGAGGTGTATCAAGTTATGTCGCGTGAACAAGCGGAACGCGCAGTGGAAAGTCGTACTCGTCGATCGCTCACGCATTCACGCACATACGCACGCACACACTTGCCTGTTGACATGTGGAGGAGTTCGCCGGTCTTTAATTTTGCAGTTGTCGATCTCTCGCGCCCGATACTGCCTGAATGAGACATGCTCCCACCATCTGCATTTTAGAAGGTATACAAGGTAGGCACTCGTCTTGACACTAAAGGTTGGAGGTGGGACGGTCGGGTCATACTTGTCATGTCAAAGACATAGGCCAGATCCCTGAGTATAAAACTCCGACCTCCTATGGAACTTCCATCCTGAACTCGCCAGGCCTTTTCAGGCCTTTGGTGGCCCCTTGTGCTCCTTCTGGAGCCTTTCAATATCTCCAAACTGTCGGGGTGCCCCTCTGGGTGCCCCTCTGGGGCCTGTTAGGTTTCTGGGACGTGTGCTCGGAGGCCTCGTTTGTGTGCACACACACGTTTGAACAGCAGCATTTTTTAATGCCGAGATCCATCCGCTGCGTGTTTCCTGTTCTGATGCTTTCCCTCCAGACGGCTAACAAAATCCAATGCCATAGAATCCACAAGAATCCCAAAACAGAAAACCCAAAAAGGCTCAAACTGAAAAACACAAAAGCACCACAACCCAACAAGCCAAACAAACAAAACCAACAGCAAAACAAAACAAAAAGCAACGAACCACCAAAAGCAACATTCTCGGGAGCTTTTGACGGCCAGGGCTACTCTCAGTCCTGTTTCCAGACAATTGGTGCTTCAGTGTTGGACTAAAATCACTTCGTGGAATTATGGGGTTAGTGAGGTGCGATGGTACGTTAAGCTGACCCCAGCCACAATGCGCAAGCTCACAGGCCGATGGGCGAGAATTGTTGTGGAGGGACTCAGACTCAGGGCATCGAAAAGATGAGCAGAATGACCGAAGAAATGCATGCTCGTGGTTTTCGTACTCTCGGTTGAAAAGGAGCCATGCTTATTCTTAAGAGGAAGCTGCGTCTTTCCTTCGCAAAAAACTGTAGGGTGGCTCGTGTATGCGCTTGCAAATTCTAGTCAGGACGAACATGTTTAGGATTATATTCTTTGATTGCAGCTCGCCCATGGTTGGTAAATTGTGAGGGCTCCATTTCTTGTTTAGAGCAGAGCGGCCTCCTTCTTTATTCTGAGCAACTTCTTGTGTGCAAGGCAATCTTTTCATTTCAACAACTAGATTCTGCTTGAGCATCTCGACCAAAGAGAGTAGGGTGGCTTGGGGGCCTCCTGTACTGAATAAAAACGGATGGATGGGCTTAGTCGGCAGATGGTTAAGGATGTGTTATATAGTAATCAGGGAAATACGTGTCGGGGCTTTCTTAGTATGAAACAACACGGCATTTGCCTCCTAAATTTCTTGAAGGCTCTCTGTACGAAGAGCAGCTGTTTCATTTTTCTCAAGAACAGAACCTTTCTGGTTCTCATCGAAATTTTGCAAGACGTCGAGCGTGGACCGGAAAGTGGTGAAGGACAGTTACTGCGACCGGCTTTTGCAGGAACATTCCTTCGCATATCGTTCGCTGTTCATAACGGTCCAGCGCCCCCGCGTGCTGATTATGGCACATGTACACCAAACGTTATACAATGTTATACAGAAGCCTTTACTCCACCCAGTCTTGTTTAGTGGAATATTTGTCCTATTATTAAAAGACTTCATTGTTCCAGAAGTTGGTTTGATTGCAGTGTTAGTTAGCATCTATGAAGATAGCAGCGACGCAGCGCATGGGTTTCGGTTTTCAGCTATTTCTCCTCTGGTTGCAGACTTCCCTGCGTATCAGGATCGTTTGCGATGCCCGGTTCCGTGGTGGAGGATGAGGCCGGATGAGACGAGACACCGTGGATGCCACACGATGAGCTGGACCCCTGTGAGGCTGTACTCATGGAACATACGCAGGTTGTTGCCTCACAGATGGTTGGCTTCTGTCCCCGGTAGCCGCTGCCTCCATCCAAGAACCTAAGGTGCTCAAAGGAGAAACAGTGCCAGCAAGGGAGGCGCGTGCGATTCCATTTCGAAGCGTTGCGGAGCGTTGCTGGTTCGCATCATTTGCCCACTTGCACCCATTCTTTGCCTGCGTTTCACTACCAGACTGCCCTGCCGTGCCTTCAGGTGCTTAAGTAGGCTTGTTTAGGCCTCTGGGCTTCTTGCGGAAGTGTTCAAAGAGGTTCGGTCGCAGGCAATCTGCACTCATTGCAGGTATGGGCCGGCATGCCTGCATCTGGCTGCCAGCCAACTGCTGGGACTGGTGCCAGAGACTGAATCTGCTTTCTAATTCATGCCGGAAGTGCGACAAATTCACAAATTTTCCTTCGCTTAACACTTCTGCAGACGGTATCATGTCTTTCTTGAAGCAGTGACGTTTCCTGACAAAGACTGACTCGTCCAGCTGCCAGAATGCTCGCACAACTGAACAACTGGCTTGTGCGAGCATCTCTTGCTACTTGAGGCTTTGAGAAACTTCAACGGCTAAGCAAGTACAAGCAGCATTCATGTTATTGACACAAAGCCTCAAGCAACTCCAAAAACTTAAATAAACCATAAATAAATTTCCTAGCTCGGAGGCAGAAAACACTTTTGCCTTCCCAATTTCAACCGTGCTCAAGATACGTTCTGCTTGGAGACTCCTGTTATGGTGACGTTCAAAACGCTATGACGCCGCACATGTCCGCGTTGCGAGAGGCTTTTATCCGAGTTTTCTAAGCTTTCTACAGTCACAGGTCTCATACAAAGAGCAAATCCATCTTTGTTTTGTGATGTTGCTATGTACTATGGCTTCGTCCGCAGCCATGCAGCAATCAAGCTATGGCCCAAAGCCAAATGAAAGAATGGCCCCGGCGGAGGCAGAAATTCACCTTGCACCTGCGCACAAAAAGAGCCGCTGCCCTGTGCAGACTGATGTCTCCGGCGAGATCGCCAGTGAGCAGATTGCTGTCCAGCCAGCTTTGCAGCTGACTCCAGTGGGGGTCGGCACCTTATTGTACCACATAGCTATGGACAGCTTTCAGGTGACCCAGTGGTGTCCCTGTTTGCAACTCCCTTTGGTCCTCCTTGGGTATTCAATCGGCACATACTTGGTAAGATGCCACGGCTGTAGAGACCGCAGCAAGACTGGCTTTTCTTCCACCCCCCCCCCCCCCTTGGCCCAGTCCTGCATCCCAGTCTCCATCCAAGTGCGCACCAGGTTAATCGGCGATGGTTCCTACAGTGTGCAACTGTGGGTTAGGTGTTTCCATGTGTTTCGGAGCCAAGCGGGAGAGGAGGTTCCAGTAAAGAAACACGGCTAGCGGAGCTGTGCAACTTCCGAGCTGCCACCTGTGGCATTTTTTGAGATACCCTTCGCATCGGAGTAAGGCATCCGGCAAGGCCGCTCAACCGCCCCCCTCCCAAGAAAGGGATGTTGTCTGCTCAAGGCAGGTGTTTGTTTTTTGCGCCACTTCTGCTCAAGTAACAGCCTGGCCAAAAATCTGACTTCAAACCGGAGATTTGCTTGGAATACTTTTGGACCCCCCCTTCAGAGGGGATGCTTGCTTTTGTGAGCATACTGTAAAATCACTGAGGCCTGGGATGGCACGGTCTTTCGCCTCAGCACCCTGACTTGAAATTTATGGAATCATGCCTTCGCCCCGATGTTAGAAAATTGCAACTTTCGCAGTTTTCGGTGCTTCTTCCGGACTGAAAGAAGTGCGCCCTTCCACAGGGTCCTTCCCAATCGTGTACAGGCCCGCCGCTTAGTCAAAGCTGTACGTGATTGTCTGTGTGCAACGGTGTGTAAATGTGACGCCAAACCGTGCAACCATGTTATGCCTTGAGGTGGAATCTGCCAGGTCAGTTGAAGCCCCAGCCGCTTCCTGCAACGACTTCTCTTGCTGCTCTGTGCTTGTGGGTCGCCTGAGTCGCACCTGCATGCGCCTGTCGCACCAAGTGGCACCAAGGCGAGATTCTGGTCAGGTTGATGGCGTACCCCGGAAGCATTCGGAAGCATCGGTCAGCATTGTGTTCTGCAGCTGGCATTTGGCATCTGTACGTAGCACTTTGTTGCACTCTTGGGTTGGCAAGCTGCCGAACAAAATGGCGAATCTGGTCCTTAGCTTTGATTGGTTCTCCCAGCAGCCGCATGGTCAAGTCATGTGTAAAAGTTGGCAACCCCGATGTCCAGCGCAACAGTCTCGGGAAGCCAAGCCATGCCGTTTACTTAAAAGCAGGTGTCATTCAAACACCTTCAGCATCTGATCTGTTGGCAAACTACGTAAGGCTCTACTACATGACTTAGCCCAGTTTAGTTGAACACCGCTGACAACTGGAAGAGAAGAATTGCATCAACTCAGAGTTGTCAAACCAAACAAGCGAAAACATGGCGCAGCGCATGGACACCATGACATCGCTGGGCGGTAGCACAGCCCAGAGTGGCATCCCTCCATTGTCCATGCGTTCGCTTGCCGAGTTGCAGCAACTCTGTATGAGAAGACATGCCTTCGTTGTGCAACTTGAGCGTGAACTGGCCGCACTGCGCCAGCCATCAGACCTGGAAGCGCGCGTGGAAGCTCTTGAGAAGGTTGTGAAGCTGGGCCAACAGATTGGAAGCGTGGATGATGTCAATGCCAGCGGACAGCACGAGCTTCTGCAGCTTGTGCGGTCAATGAGAGGGGCGCTCTCTTCTTGAATGAAGCTTTGTTAGAAGAGGCCCAGAAGTGACAGAATACGTCGATGGCTGCACCGCTGAAAAAATCTTGTTTTCCAAAGACGTCTTTGCTTACATGAAGCAGGGCGTTTCAAGTATAGAAACAGCTACAAAAAACCGCATGCTGTTTGCTGTTGCCACCACGCTGATCTGCCTTTGCGCAAGGTCCACTACAGACAGTCTATGGGAAGGCCCTGATCTGAAGTGCCAGTCTGGGCTGCCTGTTTGGGTGTTCTTCTGAGTCTCACTCGCCTGAGGATGGTCCTGACGTATCCCTTGATAGACAAGAACGTCGACTTGGATGAGGACGACATCAAGGTCAAAGACAGTGAGTTGATTCTTAGATCAATTCATGGGCTACGCTGGAGCAATTTGTATGACAGGTGGAGATGTCCTGCTGGCAGCTGAAAGTCTCCCGCAAAGGAGGTCAGATGCGGCATGCTTCACGACGGTACGATGCAGCACAGCAGCAAAGGATTGAGGTCACAGAGCACTTGACCATGCCTGACAGCGCAGGCCACACAATCTCGGAGCTGAGCAAGGACTACAACTGAGCATACCACTGGTCAGAGAAGTGTTCTGATACTGTTATGTCTGATAGGTCATGCAGAAGGGCTTTGGCACGGCTCATAGACGCCGACGTTTATCCTGAAAACCTGTCCGCAGGAAGTCTATGACGACATTCTTCGGGATCTGTCTTGGTGGAAGGCGCGCTGAGTTTCGGAAAGTGCTGCCGGTGGCACCACTGAAAACTCTGTGGCTGCGTGACACACACACAATCGTGCAGATCATATAAAGGCCATCTGGCATTAATGATGCGGGCAACTGCAAGGTGGACAAGGTACAAGAGCATTCGCAGGAAAAGTCTGCACCTTGGTAACGAGTGCTTGCTGGGCTGCAAATGCGCAGTTTCTTTGCAAGTGGTGACATCTTGCCTGAACTCAAGCAGACTTGGATTTCCCTGGACAAAGCGAGTCTATGGGGGTCTATAGCATACGGCCAGGGCTCTGTTCATCTACCTCGCGAAAGCACGCCACCGGTCCTGGACAAGCCCTTGGTACCCAGGAGCAGGGAACGTTCCGTAACATGAGAGATTGCCACCATGTAAGTTTGTGTTGAGGGGCCATTAGGGGACGTGTGTTGACGGCCCTGGCGAGCTTTCAGGCGCGTTGAATCCGCACAAGAAAGGTATCTTTGCTTGGAAGGAGAACCAGGCGGATCGGTGCGTGCACATGCTGTCATGCCTCATGATATGTGCCTTCTCAGGCGCCGAAGGGGATCCTCAAGGTGACGACTCCCCGTATGTTTCTGAATGTGCTGAGGGTCGTTGATGTCGAAGGATCTGAAGATCGATGTCGAATCCTACAAGAACATCGAGCCAGGAGAGCCAGAGGACGGTGGTAGTCGACTTGCCAGGCATCCCCATTTTCTGAGAACACAGGCTAAGATGGCTAAGCTCTCAGGACTGGAACCATGAAATCAGCACGGCAATGACTCCGGAGCCTCTAGCCGAGAGTTGCTGCACTTTTTGAATAATCGGGAGTGATGCCTCATACATGCTGAAGCGAACAAACGAGGCAGATGTGCACTGGCATTAATGTCAACGAGTCAGAGGCATGCGTGCAGTTGGCTGGACACTTGGGATTGGGCTGATGCCCTCCTCTCCCCGCTGTGTGAGATCACTTGAATGAAATTGAAAGGGTCAGTAGATGGACCAAGTACTTGCCCAGAAGCAGTGCCGAATGCCCGCTCTATCCCACACTCCAACGAGGTCATCCATCTAGATGAGGAAGGTCTGGAGAGCGCCACAGTGGTTCAGCTGATATTTCCGAGACCCAGATTCGTTTGGAAGACTCCAAATCTGAAGGCCCGGGTGCCTTTGGAAGAGGTCTTTGCTGCCGATATTTCAGCTGAGACGCTGCGGCCTCAAACCCCAGGCTGATGTAGACTGATGTTTCGGTTGTCCATTCCGCAAAGTAAGTGCTGCTCTTCAGTTGTCGGCCCAGGCTGAGCGTTTTCTTGCGCGGGGACAGGCCCCTCAAGTTGATGGAATCTGTCCCGATATTAGTAAAGGTATCAAAGTTGAGCTCCTTGTAAGTCAGCTGCTCCTGCTTGCAGTTTCAGCATATGCGCGGGGCGCTTCACTGGCAAAGTAGTGCCGGAGAAGTCGACTTGGCAAATTACCTCCGTGTCTGGGCAGCAAAGATGCTCGTCTTTTCGGCCTGCAAAATCTCGTACCGAACAGAGTCATATCTGCACTGTCCACACTCGATAACCTTGTCGATATCTTCCGTACTGCGGGTCTTCACAGTTCTCAACATGCCTTCGACGCGCCTCCAAGAAAGCCAGCATCTTGCAGAAACCTGTTCTGAAAGAAGTAGAGGCTCCGAATACAACAGCTTGCTAAGTGGGTCGTTTTGCTACCAGGGGGAAGGCTTTCTTTAAATTTGTGACGCGGTTGCGCCTTGAGTCTTGACTTGTCTTGAAGTCGTCAGGGCTATTTCCATGTAATCGTGGTCATGTCAATGTGCTAGCAGATTTAGTTGTCTGGACACCGAGTTGCTAGTTGCGCACCAGCTGAGCCTTCCAAGGTTCGCAGGAGAAACCTGCCAGAGGCGGGAAGTTGCTGACGTGGAGCTGCAGTCGGGGAAGATGGGCACCTCTCATCACCTCTCGTTTCGGCTACCATGCAAACCTGCCCAGGGCTGCTCTGTGAAGTCTCCGGCCTTCTACAACCCCGCTCTGAAGATCACGCTGGCAAAGGCCAAGCCACGGCCGTCTTTCAAGTTGAGGTTGCCTTTCCTTGCTCCCAGGACACCGAAAGTCGTGGCAGCTGGGATGAAGTGTTCCAGGCTCCTTCGCAGCCACTTCTTCACGCATAACTCGTTCCACAGGGAACCGTTCGTTGCTGCAGGATTTTCGGTGCTGTCCCTTCGGACTGCCTCGAGACCGTATTGAATGGGATGAGAGAGCAGCAATCTCAAAGCAAAGCGTCTGCTTCAGTCGCCATAAGACCGTCTTGTGACGGCCCCATATGTTGCACGCATTGCACGGCCAACGTTACGGCGCATCTGGGCCACACCATCCCAGACACGATTCGCTTCGATCGGCCTGCAAGCATCCCTCAGTAGTTCCCCAAGTACCCTGAACCTCAACACGCTGCGTATCGTCAGCCGGCCCAAACATGCCACCAGGGTGTCTCAGCCAAGCAGCATGCAACATCATCCCTCCGACGTCTCACTGCTTCATCTGCAGCGAAGCAAGAGCACATTGGAGTCGCTTAACAGACATTGGAGTACTAGTGTAGAATAGTGTAGACAGCTCTCTCTGAGCAGGCCTGATTAAGGCCTGGCAAAGTGTCAGTATAGCCTAAAGGTACTGTCTGATAACGTGCTCGGTTTTTTCACAAGCAGTTTTGGCCTGCCCAGGTCAGAAGATGCTCAGTGCTCTCCCCCAGCTGTCCGAACAACAAGGCCTGACGTCCCTACGATCCCTACCCTTCGGCCCAGCAACAAGCACTTTAACTGAAACACAAGGTTGGCAAAGCTCAGCGGGCGCGAGATCTTGTCCAAAAGGCCAGGCGCACATCCGAGTGAATCTACACTCACATGGGCACATTGTGTTGACTCTAGCAGCATCTTCTGAAGCCTTGAGGTGGAGACAAGCCAGGATTTGCTTCTGAATCGTATCTCGGCCGCAAATGGCAACTGTGGCTCGAGAGTTGTGCATTCCAATCTCTTCTGCACCTTTCGCCGAATATACGAGCTGAGCAATCGGCTTTGTTGACAAGTGAAGCATGTCAGCCCCAGCTTTTCTTGCGAGAACCGTGAAGACCGTCTAGGCGTCATTCTGCTATTCCACTTGGAGGACTGGACGTAGACGAGAGATGACGAGAGCTTTTGTCACACGCGTCACACCTTTTTTGTCACACCTTTTTCACATTCTCAGTTGCACATTTGCGCACATCCCCGCTGCCTGTCAGAGCATTGGAATCTCCAGGACAAGCTGCTGCAGCTCTGCCAAACACACAGACTTTATCTGCATGACTTATTCTCAATGCGGGCACGCCTTCGCCCTCGCTTGCCCTGCAGTGAAGTTTACACACTTGCTGCTGATGAGGCCTTGACTGTCACATAGACGGAAACTCTGTAGCTTCGCAGTGGAGGGCAACCGATACGTGCACCTACCCTTCGTACGTGCATCATGAACTTTGTCGCGATTTGGGGTCCTGCTTGGTTGGTGCCTGCAGCCATTCGAGACAAACTGATGGCTGATAAGACGAGCTCACAACCAAGATTGCTGAAAGAGGTATTAGCTACCTTTTTTTCAGCGACCTTTGGAAAGCGATTGTTCGCAGCATCCTTTGCATTGCTTTAGCATTCGTGGTTGTGGTGTGTCCACAACAGTCTGCGATGTCGTGCGATTCCTACGATTCCTGCACCGCAGCTGGCAGAAAGATCGACCTGCGTCGCCGATGCTCACTGCGACTGCCTCTAGTCCGTTGGGCCCTCAAGCCAAGACGAGTGTGAGATGTTGAGAAAGATTGTACCAAGTGGGCATTTCCTGCACAACCCCGGGCGCGTGAATTGAAGATGCTTGAAGATGCTTGAAGATGCTTGAAGATGCTTGAAGATGCTTGAAGATGCTTGAAGATGCTTGAAGATGCTTGAAGATGCTTGAAGATGCTTGAAGATGCTTGTCGGGAAAATGTCTGGGCTGCGCAGTCGGCTCGATGCAGGAAGCCAAAGATGCTGGCGAGGCTCTGGCGTCCACCTCAGCTTTTTGGTGTCCCCGAGTGGACTCGTGCGTGGAGAAGAGAGAGCTTCGCCACGCTTCGCACATTTTTGATCTTTTGAAGGCCTGCATTCTGTGTCGTGGTCCTGGTCGGCACCTTTGCCATCGCAGTCGGCAATGCTCGAGTTCAAGACTGGAGTTGCTCTTGGACAACTGGGATGGCGCACAAGCCATGACTCATAGCGCGACAGGCGGTATTCTGTTGATCTTAGGTTCTCTTGGAGCGAGTTGGACGCCGGAACAGGGGCCTCCCACAACCATGGCCCCATCCGCAAACCAGGGGTATCTGCCGGCCAAAGAAGAGGTTGGCGCTCAGCACATGTCAAGAATGTATTTAATTTAACAAAGACTTGGAAAGGAGCTAGAGCCCCGAGTGCTCGACTTCAGTCAGTATTCACTGGCACATTCTCGTGTTGTGACCATTCGCCTGCGATGTGCGTCACTGCAAGCCCTCGAGCAAGAGCCTAACCTACCCAAACCTGAGGGCAGCCTAACCCAGGTACAAGTCTAAGTCTCGTTGCTGTTTTCGCATCGCACGATATACGCCGGACAGTGGCCAGGTCCGTGTTGAGCAGATTGTCCGCGTCGCGCAGATTTGCAACCCGCGCTTCTTTGGAGCTGTTGGAGATGGCAAGACCGACGATACAGACGCCTTCCGCTCAGCTTTGCAAAGCTGCAGCTCCATGGCTGAAAGTTTGGCTCTACGAGCAGAGTCCTGAGAATATGCTTCCTCTCCCCGTGTTCCTCCCCTCCTCTTAAAAGAAGAACCTTTGCGTACTCCCATATGTGCTCACCTGAAATTTGCTATTTTCGCAGATCCCGCAAGTCTGGGAATCTGGCAAGTTGAGATTACAATCTGGGAAGTTAGGGTGAGCAAGCCCGGGAATCCAAGAATGTAGTAGACGACACATAAGCAGGTCGTAAGTGTACATGTCGCCGGTAGTCGCCGTAGCTGTCTTGCCATTTAGCTCATTTAGTTCAACCCTTGTTGACCAAGTTTAATCTGTATTAGCTCATGAAACTAATCTAGCAAACGTATATCCATATGAAAACGAGTAACCTCGCTACATCATTTACCGTTTGACTCGTTTGAATGATGCAGTCAGGGGTGACGTGCATTGTCAAATGTCATCAAACTATGATTCCATTTCAACAGTATTTCCACAGGGACGGGGGCGGGGGGGGGGGGGGGGCGTCACAAAACTTGGCAGGGGGAAGGGTTGGGTTAGGGGGAAGGAGACGGGGATCCGTGTCTGCTTGTTCCAAAGGCTTCTCGGCAGGAAGCCGAGGCGAAACCAGCCTGAATGCTTTCAAAGGTGCTTGTTATAATCTGATTCGTCTAGTCACTTAATTGAGCCTTAATTCTATTGGGGTCCTTTCCTCATTCCAATCATTCCATTGTAGAATGAATTGGATTCGCTTGATTTAGCAAACGAAATTTGGGTTGAAACGTTGATTTCGGCTGCTTTAGGCGGCTGACGAATCATTTGACCATTTGACAACCTTGAAACCCAAGGGATGCATGAGTTGATTTTGGTTAGTTTCTCTTCTGCGCCATGCATGCGTGCCCCCTTAACTCTTCACTGTCCCTCACTGTACCTCCCGCTCCAGTCCTGCAGAGTCGTTCTCTTCCCCTTGCATGCACCCTCAACTCCGGACTTCCACTCTCCCCACGAGCGCTAAGGTGCAAATCGATCCATGGAGGAGCGGTTCACACTGGAGATTCTTTCCTTGCAAAGCTCGAGCCATGCATTCGGTACTCACATCTGCCTTCAGCCTAGGAATGAGGAACTGCTTTCCCTTGTTGTCGAGCGCATGCGTCGCTCTATTGTGCATTCTTGATACCTTAGGATACCAGCGGGAACGTTTCTCATTGGCTCCGTCAACCTTACCAGCAAGATGACACTGCGCTTGCTGAGAGGCAGCAAGCTATTAGGAGCCACTCGCCTACACAATAAACCCGTACAAGGCATGCCACAACGACCATCAAACCTTCGCAGGTCTCATCGCCGGAGTCATACCCATTGCTTCCTGCTCTCCCCAGCTACGGCCTGAACCGTGACTGGGCTTTGGATCCGTACAGACGGCTCCTTGGCTTGGTCTAGTTCATGCAGTTCCGACCTAGAAACTTGAGTTTCTTGTCTGCTGTGCCTGTGGCCGGATGGACCATGCTCGGGCCACGCAAGGCACTCGGCGCTCCTCTGCGGCTACAACCTGTCAGATGTGATAATTGAGGGATCTGGCAACTAGGTTGCAGAATGCGTATGGTTCCCGGCTTTTTGTAGAAATTGTCATGCGGCTCGGCTCCACTGCAGGGTATGGGTCCCTCCTTACTTGGGGGGTCCCTCGAAGGTCTGTGGGGCACCCCTGCCTTCCCCACTTTTCAAGGTGGGGCCAGTGGCCTCGGCGGATTTTCGGTAGGATGCAGGGAGCCATGGGGAATTGGAAGGCGCATCGGCCAGTGCCAGATCCAATAAAGGATGGTTTTGGCAGTCAGACTGGAAGAGGGGGTTGGGCTTGTGGGAACCTCGGGAGGCTCAGACTTGCAAAGCTTCCGGAGACCCTGCGGGTTGCAGCTTTTTGTTCAGCTAGCAAGCTTGTCAGCCTGCACATGCACGTGCATCCTCTTGATTCAGTTACAAGTTGCGCCCTTCGGAAAGGTGCTGGCGACGGGGAAGGTGTTGTTGATGGTGATGGCAGCTGGTGGTGGTCACGCTTCAGCAAGACACAGCCACTGGCAAATGGACGGCCTTCGCTCATTCAGTTCATGTATTGCACCAACATTACTATTCGCTTCATCCGCCTGCAAAATCCGGCCTTTTGGAACACGCACTTCTATGCCTCGCAAAGCATTCTGGTGCCTCAGCAACATTACATGCTTCCTGAGCTCATCTTTACACTCGTGCTGATGCAGGCCCCTGACGTGTGATCAGGTGGAGCACGTCAACATCAGTGCGCCGTATGAATCGCCAAACACAGATGGAGTCAACTTAGACCCCTGGCAACAGATCGAGGTGATTTTGCCCATTTTTGCCAAGGTCCACCGGGTCAGGTCATGGGATGGTAGGGGAGAGGCCAGATGAGGCCAGGATGCTTGAGGCATAGGCAGAGGGCACTCATGGCACAGTCTCCCTTGAGATCCACTATACGGGGCATTGCGCCTTCGATTTTGCCCTGAAATCTGCTTCGCGGAATGGTCCAAGGATTCCGTTGTTAATGCCATTGTGCGCAGTAGCGTGGCAACCTGAGTTTTTGAATTCTTCTTGCTGTTTGATAGCTCTCGTCGTGGGGTTTGTTTTGAAGAAGCCATGCCCAAAGGAGATCTCAACAGGGGATGACGCTATTGCGATAAAGAGCGGGCTCAATCAGGCAGGCATAAAATTTGCCATGCCCAGCACTGGCCTTACGAGCTTCCAGCTCAGAGCTGCGTCTCGCGTGTCTCACGTGTTCAATCGATGCCTTCGCGCGTGCTTGAGATTTCCCGGCCACGTGCACGCCAAGGTGCCCACATACATTTGCATGACTTGATTATCCATTCAAAATGTCTCTCAGTGGGCAGCGAAATGAGCGGCACCGGCCTAAGCTCGTTCACTCTCCTTCCCAAACGCTTTCTGCCAGTGCTTTCGACCTGGTGGTTCCTACGTTCACTCCTTCGCCTTGGCATCCGCGAGTCCATGCGAGTCCACTGCTCACAGGCGGCATCTACGATGTGCGCGTCGAAAATGTCAAGTTTGGAGACAGCCGACCTGAAAACCTTTGGCACGGCATCTTCATCAAAAGCTCTAGGCAGGGCTTGCCCTGCAGCCACGTTGAAACTCGTGAAGCCATGGGCTTGGCTCTTGCAGGTGGCGTGGGGGAACAGTTCGAGACCTTTCGTTCCAGAACATCCGCAGCGTCGCCAGGCATCGCGCCAAGGGAGCGGAGTTGGGGCCTTCCACCTGAAGCTGGAGATTCCTAGTCTCCCCTCTCGCACTCTCTGTCTCTCCCACTCCCTCTGCTGAAGCCAGAAACAAGAGCGGTTTAGAGTTGGACCTGGCGACGGCTGCGGATCAGAATTTGGGCCTCGGGGTAGAGGGATCCCAACTTTTTGCATGCTCACTTGGCCAGCGATGGCCACATTGCAGGTCAGGAGCGAAAAGAAAAACCAAAGTCTTTATTGAGCTTCTCATCGGCACGAGCGCAGCGGTTGGATGTGAGCTAGGCTCCGGCCATGGTTTGCCAGCTGATACCCGAGGATCTCAATGCAATACGGCTCCTGGAATGGACCCGAGGCAGTCACGAGTCACTGGAGAAGCGGCGCCAGCCTAGACTAGATAGGTCATGATAGGTCACAGCAGACCTTGTCAGGGAGAAGCTTCAGACGTGCCTCCGAGCTTCTTCAACTTCTCCTTCGACACGATTTCTTCCAACGGAGCCAAGCAGATTGCCGAAATCAGTGGATTGACAGACAGCCCCATCACAGACATTGTCTTCAAAGACATCGTCGGCACCAACCACGAAGAAGGCATCACATGTTTGTGACCCAGTCGCTCCGCAGTGCAGAATGATGAGTAGTTTGTCAGGACGGTGGTTAGTCAATGTCTGGCATGGCTGAGGCAGACGCACGCGAGGAGTCAGAATGTTGAACAATGGCGTGAAGGCTTTGCAGCTGCTTCCGGCCTGTTCAACATGTTAAACACAACTTCTGCTTAGGCTCTTTTTCCACTCAAATCGTAGGTCCGGCGTAGGGTTCAACAGAAAGAGTTGAATAATCGTGAACTGCAGAATACCGGATGCCTGCCCAACCTGGTGGACACGTCGATGCGAGACGAGCTGGATCGCCTGGACCCGCCGACGGCGCGCGATGGTGCCATCAGTGCCGAAAGCCACCCGTCCAATATGTAACAGTCCAAAAAACTTGACAAGCTGCCAAACAGCAAGCCACACGAAGAATGCTACGTAGAGCAACGCAGAGTGCCACATTGAGCGAGGCTGCTGTCCATCTTTCCAAAAAGGGTTCCCAAGAGATACACGCATTTTTGGCACATGCAGCTGCGCTCGATGCATTCGTTTTTTTTTTTAGCTGCTTGCTTGGCGGATTCTTTTGCAAAGAGGTTGGCTTGAGAAGCGGAAGAAATTGAGATTTGACTGCACTATTGATGGACCTATTGATTTACCGCGCGATGTTGACTGGGCATTCTTGAGAGATGTTGTGCAAACAGCATATCTTGGCCAGGATTTCCGCCATTTTCGATGGCAATGTGTGACTTGGTTGACAAAGGTTGCGTAAAATATAACTCAAGATGTTCAGTATCGCGCTGCCTCCAGATCTCGTTGCGCTGTGATGTGTCTGAACAGTTGGGCTGATGCTACATCAGAACTGCCATTCTCCTTCGCCGAGGTCGCTTCCAACAAAATCAAATCCGGACCAAATCCAGAAGCTACAGCGAGGTCTCTACGCCATTCACTGGGCCACACGGCTGCAGCAGTGGGTGCAGTGTTTGTGCAGAAGTGTCAGGTTGTCCCCGAGCTTTGTCATACCAAGGACCTACCCGGGCATGGTTGGCATGGGCTGAGAAGCACTGCACCTTGGCATTGTCCATCGTGTTTTTTGTTTTTTTATCGTGTGTGTGGGTTCACTGTCACTCGTCTGCAAACCCCGTGATCCCATACCAAGGTCTTTGTAGCACCTCTTCAGAAATCCACGAGCGCAGTGCTATGGCATCATGGTCATCATGATTGTGTGTGTCCCGATCCATCTACAAAAAAGAAGCCTGGACACTCTACTGGCATTCATCACAGAGCACATAAATGGGGGATCAGGAGGTGAATCAGATGCATACTGAGGAAGTAAAGAGAAGACGCGGAAGTATGGCGTTCGCCCTGGCTGGGCTCAAGGGCCCTGTCGCAAGGGATGCATGGGCGCAAAGCACACCAAGATCATGGCATCAAATGGCACTGGATACACTTGGTGGGATCTTGATAATGTGACGAGATTCTTCCATTCGCTGGGTCACAATGCACCTTGGTACCAGGCTGAATTTGTTCAATCAGGCTGACTCTGACAGTCTGGCATGTCTCATGTGATTGCTGATGCTTTTTCAATCCTTCACAGGTATTCATCTTGTCCATGCCGCTAGTGGGTGTAAATTTCTCTCCTGGGCGCAGCACGAACTGGACGGATCACTGGTGGTTTCAGCGGCCCTATTGAACTTTAGCACATACAGAATAGGCCAGCAGCGGCTGCCCAACCATTGCACTAGGCAGAGACTAAGCTGGCTCCCAAGGACGCTCGAGAGCGGTGGTGAATCCACTATCCGTGCTTCGACTTCAAAGCACTAGCCATACGGGGCCATGCGTAGCTGAATGGGCCGTGCTTCGAGCTCATGAGTCTGAAGGCGAAAGGTTTCCATATCTAGTGGCCGCTAGCAATAAACTAGGGCTGTCAAGTGAGGATACTTCTGCGAGCCAGTCATTCTGACGATCAACTACGCTCTGAGTTTGGGCTTTAAGGACTGCGACGTTCCTGAGCACTAAGTAACTACAGCACCTTATATTCAGGAGGCAAATTAAAGAACCCCCCACCCCCCCAACATTTAAACAAGAAATCCGTCCGGGTCACCGCTTCTTTACTGCTGCTCTTGGAAGTAGGGGCGGGGGGAATGTTTAACCTAAGCTTGTACACTCATTAAAACCAAAACCCTCAAACCCACCCTAATTAATGCCGCAAGACCTCGATCCCTCCCTCCTTGCCTTTCCGGTTGAGGTTTTGAAGTTTTTAGGGTTCAGGGTTGAGGTTTGCAGTGTCAATAATCGCTAGTTGGGTGTTGGGCTTCGGGTCGAGGTTTGAGTTCTTCTGGGCTTCACCGCGGGGGGGCCGAAGCATGCTAATTTTAGGGGCTGTGTTTGATCTTGGAAACGTGCATGGGCACATTTGTATTCCACGTGGTGCGCCTCCCTCCTGTTCCCATGCGAAACCTTCAATGTGCTGGGTTCGAATTTGAGGATTCCACGCAATCCGGACTCCGTCGCGCGTTTTCTCCTGGGTTGGAACTGGCCTGTTCCACATTCGGGCCTCCGTCCCGCGTTCTCCCAGGGGACAACCCTACGTGTTGAACATCTCTCGCTCAAAGCCCTGAACCCAAATATGAAAGAAAGCCCGTGGGAATATTATGGAGGAGGAGGGCATCCGTATTAGAGGAAAAAGGTCCCATCGAACTGCAGGGGGCTTTGTAAAGATTACCATTGCGGCAGTGCAATGTTATGCGATGACGCTTGAGAGCAAACATGTCGACCTGGACTTCAGAAGCGCCTACAACGTAACTACCTGCGCAGGATGTGGTCCTGGCTGGTCTGTCGGGTGGGGGGTGGACCACAAGCCTCGTCGCGGCCATGGACTCGCGGATCACAGCATCGATCCCTGTCGCGGGTCCTGACCTCGACATGTTTGTTCCGTAGACGTAGCTCAGAGACTGAACGTGGAAGGAGATGCTTGAACCAGATGTCTGGGCAGTGCAAAGGCGTCCTGCCGTGGTACCTGCGTTTTGCTCGAACAGCTTCCGGCTTCGAGGCAACTGGAGACATCGGCCACTTGCTCCGAAAACTTGTGAGATGACTGATCAATCTGCCATTAGACGCAAAGCTTGCTTTCATGAAGATCAAAGCTCGTCAGACAGGTGATTACGAGCAGATCTGTGCACTGATGCCATTTCCATTCTTGGACGGGGCAAGGCTTGCTGGCATCGTGTCAAAATTTCTATATACAATGCCGAACTAAACGAAACAGTAGTCCCCAGGCACAAAGGGTACGGATGGCGCGTGGATGCTGGGCGAGAGTACTGTCAGGCTTGCAACTACAAATGCCACTTGGCTCATTTTTGGCTCACTGGCATCCTGTCAACAACCATTGTTGGGGCTCATGTGAACCGCGTCGAGGCCAGTTTCTCCTAGCAGGCTTGGAGCCGTATCGCTGGCAACTTCAAATCCTCCACGAGGCTATCGGCAAACTTGAGTCGCACCCGCCAGGCCAAGTCCAAAAGAACACCAGACTTCCACACACATGTCGCATGTAGGATGACACTTGCTGCTATGCTGCCGCAGGAAGGCTCGGACGTAAATTCTGCCTGAGTTCAATCAGGACAGCAATGGCAGGGTGATTGGGCCGCACAAGTTAAGGCACGATGAGATTCGCGCGTATGAGACCGATATCCGCACCGCTGTAACAAGTCAGCAGCCGCACGGGTGGTTTACTGTTGCCAGCGCCCAAGCCTGCTGAAGTCGTGCGTTTGGTTATGGATTAAAAGTCAGTCCGGTTCTCATGAGATGCCATGATCAGGTCGTAACGGATCACAGGTGCACCGTGGTCCTCCTTTTGTACTTTTTTATCCCTTTTTCAGTCTTACTTCCAAATCTCAGATACTGGCAGGCTCCATGAGTTCTGCGCTGAAGACAAGATGGTCATTGAAGCTGCATTGACCACGCGGCCCAATCCGAAGAGCAGTAGATGGGACGTGTTACCGTGCGACGTGCTACATGGCAAGCATGAGGCTCAGGCAGTTGTTCACACACTTCATTCCTTTCATTCCTGGAGATTCTGTATCTGACGTCTGGACCTTAACTTTCTCAGGTCCAACACGGCAGCGACGTGCAAAGTCTAGATGCTTCTGCCTGCTGAAAATGGCGCGGAATTTCTGCGTTCGGTGAGCCTGCAGTGTCCACATGCTTGTTGCACCTCCTTGCTGGCGGTGAATTTGTGAAGCTGCAAACCTTGGCTACACGCTGGTTGCTGAGATGCACACAGGTAGGTGCACGGGATGTGCAAGTGAACTTTGTCGCGGACAGTGAGTATCCGATGTGTCGTCTCCCCAGCTTTTGAAAAATCGGCCTCAATCTCGGGCCTCAGATGCATCGCTGACAGGCTTCGGAGGTCTGGGTGGCTGCTGCGTGCCAGAGGCCTCAACATGGGAGATCTTCATGGATGATGGCAGCGAGCAGGACGGCCCACTGTTTAAGAATGTGCAGTGTCTCTCTTTTTCCATGTGGTCGCCTTCCACCAGGAACGTCACGCTTGTCAACTTGTGACTCATTCCACTCAGTTGTAACTTTTTGTCGCTGTCTCGCTTGTGACTCTGCTCGGCCTAGGTTGTGTATGTGCAGGGACTTGCAGAGGGTCAAAATTAGTCATGGGGTGTGAGTGTGGACTGAAGCATGTGGCAATGGGTCATAATGGGTCATGGTCATAGCCATTACTGGCTACTGCACATTTTTTTAGCAAGAATGTGAGATGCCTGAGATGCAGGAGAAAGCACATCCAGTGCTGAAGCTCGGTCTTGCCAAAGCTGAAAGTTCGAGAGGTCGCTGGCAAGAGGCCTCGAAGCAGACTGAAACAATCCGAAACAATCCGACACTGCCGGCATTGCCAGAAGCAGGTCTTCACACAATGGCAGCCTTGGCAATCTGCAAAGGCCATGAAGGAGGCCCCTGAAACCATGTCGTGTAGATGCCAAAGTCTTAAGTCGTATGTGGAGAGAAGCTTGGTGGAGGCTGTGCGACCCTGTGCGAACTACAGTTTGCGAGGCATACGCCAACCAAGCTCTCGAAGGTTCAAGCGCAATCGCCTTGGAGGCCCTCCTGAGAAGTATGCCCTCTGCCCCAGCATTCCGTCACGACATCCATGTGTTGAGTTGATCCTCCTTGAGCCAAGCCGGGTAGCATCTTGCAGATTGCAAGAACCTTCCCAGGCCTATCGATCGAACGTACGCTGTTTCGCACACTTGCCATGCCAGGATGGAGATGAAGAGTGAGGAGACATGACTGAGGATCGGCTGGATGATCTTCCATCCCTCGCACAAAAGGCTCTCGATGAACAGCCGGAGGATCGCCTAAAGCCAATGCTGCGCCTGTAGTTCCGAGCTGCCTGCACTAGTGACCAGTGGGTTAATCTTGAACCATCTTTGACCATGCATGCCCTTGCGACACTGACATGCCTAACCCAAGTGGCTGATCTTTCATCACCGCAGCTGTGTTTCTGGAGGTGTTTCACTGCCGAGACTGTCCCGGGGCAAGGGTGAATGATAGGAGGCATCCAACAATGTCGGCCATGTGCAGGTGAAGACGGAGAAGGAGGCCGTCAACATCCTGGCCGATAGCATGCTGGAGTTGCGCGGCATTGACACTGATTGATGGCGTAAAGAGCAAGATGGGCACTCAGTCAAGCGGCAGGATCTTGACGAAGCTATGGATGTGACCCTTCTCTTTTGGAAAGGTCACAGCTTCTAGACAGGATGGCGTGCGCAATCGTGAAACTTCCAGCGCCAAAACTTCCGAGCAGATGGCCAACAGACAAGGGTACCCCAGTGACAACTGAAGCGTTCTTTCCGCGAGGTCCCTGAACCAGCAGAACGGTACTGCCGGTTCATGAACCTGGCGGAAAGAACGATGGATGTCAGACTAGATACCAGGACGATTCTGCGTGAAAACGTTCGAGAAACAACTGAGCACTGCATGTTCGTGTCACGACCTGGCGGAGAATTGGAAACCGATAAGACTGGAATGCAGCTCATGTCGAGACTCCGTGTGATCTACATTGCCAGCATCGTCGTGTACAGATTTTTTTCGGGAACTTCTTTGATTTTCGGCAGGGACCATGCTGGACGCGAAGGCTGGAGCAAACAGAAGAGAAGAAGCACACATGGACTGTGTCAATAGAGAGCTTTGAGATATGGATTCAAAAAGAACACCGCTCACCTGCACGCCGCACGCCGCACGCCGCACCCGCACCTTCAGGTTCAGAGCCGCAGGAAAATTCCAGATCCAAAATGAATCTCTGCATAACGTGACTCAACCCATTCCTTTTTCCTGCGGTGCAGCCCCGTCGGCTACGGGATGTTTCGGGGGCATACGTCACTGTGTGTTTCTTCTAGACTCCAAATGTGTTCCAAGCAAAGGCTGTGGACCAGGTCAAGTTATCACAACACTAACGCGGGCTTCCTACGCTTGTTGGATTCGTCTGCTACTTCCTAGCATCCTACAGACCTTGGGACTTTGCGCGAAACTGCGCGAATGATTCGGAAGCGGGGGAGCGACAGCTGCTCAAGCAGCTCATGGAGGACTGCCGGTTCACAGTCTCTGCAACTCACCAAAATCACATCAGAAGTGCCCACGAGAGTCTTGCCAGGACTTGAAGCATGCCGTCTCTGCTTTGGACTTCGAAGCTACATCAAGACTGCTTCAGGATGGCTTTTTTGAGCAGCGGTATCTTCTTGATTGGTTGAGTGCTGATGGCACTGCATGGGAATGCCGCTTTGCCCCGTTCAAACCCTTCCCCAGTCTACATGCGCCCATTCTATAGGCCCTCAACTGCATAGGATGTTCCAAATGCAGAGACAGCTCTATGTGCCGCGGACGAAGATGGGCTCTGGCCTCAAGAATTCTTCGCAGATGTGCAAGGCATTGACATAGTCTTCAGGCAGCGTACCCGACCCAGTGAACTGCGACATGCAAGCAGCACCCGAGGATGTGAATTAATGTGCCCAGCAATGCTGGAATGTGACATTGGCAATACCATACAGCATAGTGGTCCTGACATCTTCGCAATAGCCACGATACACGACCCCAAACAATGGGACGGAATGCCACGCCCAGGCAGACATTGCTCCATCTTTGTGCTGATGCCCTGGGCGAGTCTGACAGAGCTTCAGAGCAAGGCGGAATACCCTCGGCCCTCAACTGTTACGAATAATTGCTGCGGCCTAGACAGCTGAGATCCAGCTTGCGCTTCGGTCAAGCCTGCACATGTCCGAATTTTCAGAATGATTCCTCTCAACTTTCAGGCTTCAATGTCATGAAGCTGCTGCTGAGCCACGGGGCCAACCCATGCAGCCTGAACAGCCTCGGGGTGAGCCCGCCAGATCAGGGTTTTCGGGCTTCGTTGGTTTCGGACTAGCTAGAACTCAGGGTTCAGTAGTCCGTTCTTGCTTGCTCATATTCCGGTGAACCTGTCTCTGCGCTTATAAAACAGGTAGAGATGCTACTCTGGAGGTCCGTGGCGTAGAGTTTGCTCTCCAGAGCCCGCAGGGAAACCTTTCTAACGAGGGGTGAAGCAGCCTGCACATAAAGAATGCCGGCAGCGTTCAAGGCTCAGAAGCAAATCAGGAACAAAAGCAAACATATCACGAACAAAAGCAACTGCACTTTGCACATGCCACCGCCGTGCAAGACTTGCAGTGCTGATGATCATTGCAAAAGTTTTGGTAGAGATGCGGGCGTGCTTGCCCTCCAAGAACGATTGCCTGCATACAGCTAGCTTGGCTTGTGCAGCTTGATCCTGGGTTGTCACAGTTCAGCAAATTTGGTGCAGAGACCAGGAATCGCCGCTGATTCTGGCTTCGAGAGCCACAGCAGGCACGAAGTGTACCGAGCCACTTGATTTTTTTGCGCTCCGCGCGTCCGTCTTGGCCTCATCACTCGTGGCCTGCTTGAGATTGCTTTCGGGCACTGATTGCTGCGTTTGGGAAATCATTCTGCGAAATAGGTGCTAGATGCTAGTGTGTTGATCTACTCAAGGTTTCCCAATTCGAAGCTAGTTGTGTCTGAGTCCGGCGGTGTTTGTTGCAGGACGGTACAGTTGGGGGAAGGGGAGGGGGGGGAAGGGGAAGGGGGGAGGGAAGGGGTGAGGGGGGGGAAGGGGGGAGGGGTGGGGGAAGGGGGGAGGGAAGGGGTGAGGGGGGGGAGGGGTGGGAAGGGGGGAGGGGGGAAGGGGGGAAGGGATGCTGTCGGTTTGCGGAAATCTTGCTGCGCCTGCCGTACAGTCAGCCTTGTGGAGACTTCGGCCAGGAGCCTTCCAAGCAGCACTCGATGAGGACTGCTTCGAATGATGAAATTTACTACTGCAGAGCTACAGAAGCAGCCACAGCTTCAGAGCATTCTGCTATTGCGCTTCTGCCGACATGCTGAGCTTGAACACGCGACTTAGCTGGGCATGCTATTGCTGCCAGGAGCTCGACAACGAGAGACTTCTCCCAGTGCGGCACCTATTGGAGGCTTTGCGATGCAGAATCTGAATGGGTTGAGTTTCAATCCTTTCCGGAAGTTCCACCTCTTCAGAGGTTGCCGCAGCGTTCAGTCCAAGCCTAGCTTGCAAACCATGAGAGCACGCGAGCTATGTCCTTGTGGCACCTTCTGCCCAAAAGATGGACCTGCTGTCTTGGCCCACGTCGACATGTCCCCGCACAGAAGCAGATGTCAGTAGACTCAGTAAACACCCTGTGCCAAGGCTCGTTAACAGATATGATGGCACTGTCATGTTTGCACTGAAGTTTACACAGTACACCATCTCCTTCAGTATACTCCAGTATACTTCAGTCTTCTGTGCGCCTGATTCGCTGGATTTCTCTCAAGCCACTGCCATGGTTGCAGAAGAGCCGGCGCCGGCCCAGGACTTGTACGTGCTTTGCGCAATGCCAATTTGGTTCATACTAAGTTCATATACCATCTCCATCCATCTCCGCTCAGTCCGCGGGAAGAAAGTTGCCTGCCTGCCTGTAAGCCGTTTATAGTCGTTTCGGCTGCTGTCCCGCTGTTCTTCTTCTTTTTTGAATGCAGATCGATCGGTCAAGAGATCATCCACTGCTCAGTCTTTCTTCCATATCCATATCAAGTTGCTCGGTGCAAGTGCACAAAACGTTATAGCAAAACATGTGTAAGTCACCAAACAAGAATACCTGCTGCAAGCCGCAAAGCCGCAAGGACACTGCTTATTCTCATGAGGAGCAGCTTCTCCTTGTGGAGGCCTTGCTGCAGGACCTTGCTGCAGTGGTTTCGTTTATGGGAAGGTGATCGGGGACTCAACTCGTCCCTTGGCAAGGAGACCTCCCATGACGAAGTGTTGTCCAGCCAGCGTGCTCGGCGCACTGACATGGTTTCGACGGACTTTATGAGTTCGCTTTCTGCACAGGCCCCTGGCTTCAGCACAAAGCCTCGCATGATCGAAGTCATAAAGAAGGCACTTCTCTCAATCTGCAGCAGTATCAAACAGCATCTGCAAAGGTTGACTCCCTGCTGCTGCAGTCCGCAGCCCTCACTGACGTCAACCTTGAAGACATCCGCAGGTCGCAGCCGCTCAGTGGATCCAGGTGTGATCTTACTGTCTTCATTTCTTAGAAATCTTCCTGCTTTCAACCTGTGGCTTTAATTTCTGCAGAGTCTGTGCTGTTCAGTTTAAAATGCAACGACAAGAATTCAACAGCTTCAGGTGAAGCTACAGGCCCCATTCCTCGGATCCCGATGACTCACGAACAGGTAGGCCGAACCACTACGTTCTGGCGCCTTAGTTAGCTGCAAACGCAGGTTTGGTGGTCTATGCTGAGATACCCTGTGATATCTGATGTGGTCTAACGGTTCTGTCCCCACAGTGCTTGCAGCTACCCACCTGCCTTGATCGAAGGCTAGCGCCTGCAGAGAGTTCGAAAGCATCTCCTGCGCCTTCACCAGGTCTCTGACATGCAAATGCTGATGCACCTTAGTCTCGAAATATAAAACCCATTGGCAGGTGCTCTCAGTTTCAGCACCTCTCCAAGCAGTCCATCTTCAGCTCGTCAATGGTCTATCAAAAGGCCAGGCAACGCCAAGAATTAAGCCTGTGGCAAGTGCCAAGCTGTTGTCACAGGCCGGAGGGCCACAGACTTGGTTCGCATTACACTCTGTTCGGCCCTCCTCCTCGACAGACAAGGCTGGAAGAACTGCAGTGGCTAACTGCAAGATCCAGCATGTAACCGTGATGTCTAAGCAAGGTCACCGACACGTGCTCAAAGCCCACCGATGGCGACTTACGAGCGTTGCTTGGTTGTTCGATAGTGTCCTACCGTGATCTTTTCTCGCGATGCAAGCCAGGCGCATTGCACACACACAAAGTGTCAGGCGCACCTGATGTTACATCTCCACTCAGGAAACGTCGAGTTCGTGAAGCAAAAACAGGTCCGATTGGAAAATGCCCAGAAGGAAAAGGACAAACAGGAGTGGAAAGCTTCATTTCGATGGTCTCCTGATAGTTGCCGATTTCCAGTGCAGTATGCCCATGCCAGTGCGCGAAAACTGTTTGTCTTTGCACTGTGGATAGGAGGTAATGGCGCTGGCTTCGCCCAGCATCACCGCTGAGTCACGGAAACTCGTTGGAGCAGGCCCGTGACAGCATGGCACAGCTATTCTAATCTAAGCTCTGCATACCATGTAACATTCATGCTAGCCTTCACAAGGGCCTCAAGCGATCCATAGGAGGCCCGTGAAGCGTCCAAGAGGAGGCAAAGGGAGTCCGTATGGAAGCCCCCCCCCCCAAAAAAAAAAAGACAAGCTGGACCTCTCTGTGCGTAGTCCATAGAGGGTCCACAGGGGGTGGCTGCAGGTGGTGCAAAGTCACCCCAAAGGGGTGGCTGGGGAGGATGGGTTCCGATGAGGTTTGTAGGAAATTCCACTTCCCATAGACATGCATGGTGGCTGTGGAGGGTTGCATACGGGGTCAAAAGCCTAAGGAGTCCAAGCTCAAAACGGTCCAAGATCCCTCTCAAACAAAGGGGTGCCCATCGTTTTTGGGGTGTTGGGATTCATCGGGGGGCCGAGGGCGGCGACGAGACCATGGGCCTTTGAGCCAACCTGAGCCAACCCCTACCGGACCAATTGAAAGGGCCGAGCATTGCACCCTTGGCGCTAGGATTTGTGACGGAGGATAGCAAGAGGCGGGTTCTTTTCCCCCAAACGCCTGAGCCCTGGGTCGGCGGCTGAGTGGCCGCCGGATCCCTGAGCTGCTAGCATTGTGCAGTGTCCCAGGGTCCGTGAAGTAGTCAGTTTCATTGGCACTGCAGCACCTGTCAGGTTATGCTCCGCCGTGGAGCCGAAGTGAAGACGTCAGCCGGTCTGTGATCCGCAATCGGAAGGTCTGTGTCATAGTGATTGTGGACATTCAAAGTAGTGGCACTGGACCGTTCAAGATTGGGCTGCCAAGTGTTCCAGGCAACAGTTGTGCTATGCCATCTTGCTCCAGGTCACCGAAGACGTCAACGCCAAGAAGGCTGTGGAAGCTGCAGAGCACACCTTTCAGCCCAAGATCAACGAGCGCAGCAAAGCTATCTTCAGGCTTCAGAACTTCATGGAGTGCACAAAGTCTCGCTGAATGTAGCATCAAAACCAAATGGCTACCGGAGCAGCCGGCTGTTGCTGTTGTGCTCCTTCCTCTGGCGCACTCACCACGATTTACATCTGTTCAGGCATGTGCTCGATGCTGGGGAGCCCTGGCATGATCGCATTCACCAGCGATCCAAGACCCGCAAAGCGCATCACGGCTGATCCTGCAACTTTATTGCGACATCCGGGAGAGGGCATTTGTTCAACAACTGAGGCAGACAATGTATATAATTTGCTGCTCCCCTTTTCTCACGACCCAAGGCGGTTGTTCAAGCAGGCATTTGACAGCTCTAGCATACTCAATACTACGTAAGGGGGTGTGGCCCTGAAAGCCCTTCAACTCCTTCAAAATGCAACAATGAGTTAGAAGTTTTCAACCAAGATGCAGAGATGTCCAGGAGTAAATTTAGGTTTCCAGACATGGAGACTGTTTGGAATGACAACCGTCCTTATACTCGTCCGAACGAACGGCAGGGACTCGTGGCGTCGACGCAGGGAATGCTCATAATGCAGCGGCCCACTTCCCACATGAAAGCTTGAGCTTTAGATGGGCCCGAAATTCTGTACATGAAACACGAAAGCTGTATTGCTAGTGAACAAACTACTATAGATGTTGTTTAACTACATGCTGGAGGCGCAAAGAAAAGTGTGAGATCACGTCCTTCAAGTTCTTCAATCTGCAAATCGGAAGTTCACGGTTAATGTTATATAGGTATATTTACAGCACACAGATCTTTTAAGTTAGAACGACTCCCCGGAGACGGTCATGTGGGGCGAAACAATACTTTACACAGCTTAATCCCGGTTCTAAAGAATTTGAAGGTTTTGCAGAAGTGCGATTTCTTCAGAAACACAGGCATTCCGCATCCAAGGAGATGTTGACCTATCAAACGAACCTTTTTAAACTCAACGTATGAGAGGCTTGACCAGGACCTCGATTGGCAGAAACACAGAATTTGCCCGCATATACATGCGAGCATGTCCTTAGTTTACAATTTCGAGTTTACGGGAATGAGCGACTTTGCAAAAGTCAGCGAATAAGAATTCCGGATCTTATGAAACCCTTGTATAAGCTCGAATATCTCCACAAGGGAAACAATGTCAAACCTCCTCTGCCTAAAGCAAGGCATGGTTGCAACGATTGGTAACGCCCAACAAAAACTGTACGTAAGGTATCTGAAAATGCTGAGAATTACAAGACAAGAGCTGCCCAGGCAAACGGAGGAGCCCAGCTTCCGCCCACAGATCTCCCGCAAGGCGCAGCTGCTCCAGCGATGCTCGGCTTGCGGTTCGTGTCGAAAAAATGCGAAGAGGGGCTACCAAAGTGCGGTGAGCTTGCTTTCTCAGCCGCCTGCTTGGCCATCCATACTCATCTTTACTCGTCATCGCCAGTCGTCATCAGTAGTCATTGCCATCATTGCCCAGGTGACGGTGACATCACGGAGCGGCTGTGCAGGCGCGAAGCCAAGGCACGGGACTTGGTCTCGAGCTATAGAGATGCACACTAGCATTCTCATGTTTCTCCATGGCACGGATTCTGTACTCCATGAGAAGGCACCGGAGCCGAAAAACAAGCACAAGATGCGGGCAATGCAGCGGCGGAGACTCTGCTCAACTCTTCTCCTACAGCGACTGTATGGGAATGTGTTTCAGCAATCGATCCCGAGACAGCGTTTACCAGTGCGCCCTCCGTCTGCGAAGCCCCAAAGGATGCTGGCGCAAGAACTTGAGAAGATTGAAGGCCGCCTGGAGTGCATCAGATAGAGCTTAAATGCCACGTGCAGGTGGTGTGTCACGCTCTTCGGACAGAGCTGATTTGTCAATATGGCGGGCACCCTTGGTAACACCAATTCCCGAAGTAGTCCAGAGCGCTAACCGTTAGCTGGGGGAAGGGTTCCGGACTTGTTTCCTTGGATTCGGGCCTCAAATCCATCGATACTAAAAGGGTTGAATGTCTATGGGATGAGCAGTGGTGTCATGCTGCTGAGGTGTACAGTGGGGAAGGAGAGTAGTTAGCGTTACGGGCTACCGGAAGCACGGCATCACCCGTGCCGATTAGTGATTAGTGGTGCTTCCTCCAGCTGGGGCAAGGGGTGTACAGCCCATTCTCGGCCAAGGGCACCCGGCAGCAACACCTGTGCCTGGTTAGTGATGCTTTGCCTGAGGGCCGGTGATCTGCTGCCAAGGGTGTCTAGGGCTTGGTGCTAGAGGCCATGCGGGCGGGGGGAGCGGAAAAGGGATAAACCAAACAGGTACCGTGGTCCGGGGTCTTATGTGCCTAGACCGTTCCAACATAGTCTGCAGATCTGGGTTGGCAAAGAGGTGTTGGGCCAATCAATGGTCGAACTGGTCGCAGTCACGAAAGCAATCACAAAGTCCAAGCGATAAATTGCAGGACACAGAGATTCTTTCAGGGGCATGTTCTGTGATTAGAAAGCTTTAATTCACCATGTACCACCCACCGGAGTTGTAAATAGCCGTACTTTGATGCTGCAATGGTCGGGGGGAATGGGGCGCGGGGAAGTGATCACTCCTTGTGTTGGTGACAATCTCCATAGGACGTTTCTCGCATAATATCTGCCAGAACCTATCAATTCACGCATCTGCCTTCTTGCGGTTTAAAACAAGTCGGTTGTCTTTGTACTCGAACGGTCTGCCCGTCGTCGTGAAACTCTGCTGCAAATAATATATTTCGGATAACGTAAATGCTGTGAATCAGTCTGCTGCACGGCTGTCAGCACGACCGCTGTCAAGTACTGTCGCACAGGTATGCAAGTTCAGGAAGCGGATGAGGTCGCCGTCCTGGAAGAACTAGCAAGAAAGACCCTTGCATGCATGGAATTGACATGCGGTTAGTCTTCCTTACATGCTTTCCATACCGTCATGTACTAGAGGGTCTGGCGTCTTGGACCCTAGGACCCGAAGACTGATGGTCTAGAATCTAGCCCCCTAGATTTTAGACCCTAGCCCGCCCTAAGATTCCAGACCCACCACATCTCAGCATGAAACCGCTGCACAAAAACGGGGCCTGACATGTATGTCATGAGTTCACACACGTTGCACATCGCACCCTGCAGTTTTCGAATGATGCACATTTTGCAGGAGCAGAGCAGTGTAGGGTCCAGGGTGACAAGTCCTTGCAATGGTGTGTGTTTGTTTTCTGTAATCCCCCCCCAAATCTGCGCCTATGTGCGTCAGGGGTCTCAAGGGAACGTGTTTTGTGCTGTAGCGGCCTGCGGCGGCAGCAACAAAAACGCCCACCGCAACAACAGCGCCCCACAGCAACAGCAAAAACGACGCACCCCCGCAGCAACGGCTTCAAACGACGCGCCCTGCAGCAACAGCAAAAAAGCGTGCCTCGCATCAACAGCAAACAAAAAGAAACGCCCCGCGGCAACAACAAAAACAGCCTGCGCCAAGCAGCAACAAAAAAACACCCTGCGCCCCGCAGCAAAAAAAAAACCTGCGGCCCCCCGTATTGTTGTAGCAAAAGAGGGGGGCAGCGAGCGAGTGAGTGTGCGAGTGAGTGAGTCACGTCCCGCGGGGGCAGCCAAAAAACGAGCACCCCGCAGCAACATATAGACAAAAGCATACAAAAACATCCTCGCTGACTCCTCCCATTGCCCGCCCCTCGCAAGCCGCATGCCCATATGCGCCCGCGTTCCGTAATCGACCGCCCCGCAGCAAAAAAATCAGTAGCAACAAAAAACGCACCCAGCAGCAATAGCAAAAGAAATGCGCCCCACCCCGCAGCAACAGAGCAAGCGCCCTGCAGCAGAAAAAAAAGACCCTGCACCGACAGCAAAAAAACACCTTGCAGCTAAAGCAAAAACAAAACGCGCGCGCCTAAACATAGCAAAGCAAACCGCAGCAACATAAACAAGTAGTAGAAAGTTGTACATGCCGTAGCCCTTGTCGCCCGCGGCATAGGAAAGGAAGAAAGAGGCCAACGGCAAGGCAACATAACAAACAACAAAAGAACACTTGTTTTGCTTTACGGGGCAGCCTGTCCGGGGGGAACGGGTTCCGGGTGCAGGGCTGCTGTCTTTAGGCTTGAGGGGGCCTTCCCAACCCCCCCATCTCGAGCCCGCAGCTCAAAACTAGTTTTCCAGCTCAATGCATGCATCCTACCCTCGGCTCTAGATGGGGGGGTTTGGCTCAAACAAGGTGGGCATCCTTGTTTCGGAAAGTCTTTTTTTTTTTTTCGGATTTTGGGTGACACTTTCATTGTGCACCCTTGGAACCGCCCTCCGAGTCTTTGGCATACATTGAGCTTGAAAATTTATCTTTCCCAAGCTCCCGGCATGCGCTGGTCCGAACCCCCCCATCTGCCGACAAGGGGGTGGGAAAATTGGCTTTCCCAACCCCATCCTACCTAACCCCCCCTTATCTGCGCCCGCGTTCCGCGTAATCGACAACTTTTCAATGGTATCCCCCGCCCCCCCGTGGTATCCCCCCCAACCCTGCCTGTTAACCCTAAAAACACCACGGACCAGGCGGGGGGGGGGGGGACAGAGAAACCTCAGACTAAACCCCAAACCCTGAACCCTAAGCCCTAAAACCTAAACCCGCCAATGAAACACAGGAGGGATAAGGGTAAAGCTGAAACCTTGGCGGCTTTAAGCATGAACCCTCAACCGTAAACCCAGCACGAACCACAAAGGGAGTGGGGAAACCGTAAACCTACCATTACCCCAAACCTTGAACCCACCAACCCAATGGACCAGAGTGAAAATCCTGAACCCTGCAGCCCCCACAGACCATGGGGGGGGAGGGCCCAAAACCAAAACCCACCACGAACCGCTGGGGGGGGGGGGGGGGGAGGCAGGGGGAGGGGGGGGAGGGAGGGGGGGGGGAGGGGGGGGGGGGAGGGGGGGGAAGGGGGGGGGAGGGGGGGGGGGGGGGGGGGGAGGGGGGGGGGGGAGGGGGGGGGGGGGGGGGGGGGGGGGGGGGGGGGAGGGGGGAGGGGGGGGAGGGGGGGGGAGGGGGGGGGAGGGGGGGGGGGGGGGGGGAGGGGGGGGAGGGGGGGGGGAGGGGGGGGTGGGGTTGGGAAAGCCGGCCTTGAGCTGGAAACTGGCTATAATAGGTGCTAGCTGCAGCGGCGTGGGGGGGAGTTGGAAAAACAAGGCTTTATATAAATGCTGAGCGCAGAGAGCTGTTGA